GAGGAGCACGTATTTGCAGCCGCGGCTTTAACGCACGTCCGAAGTATCCGCAGCAAGGCCATGCGACCTGCCATGCAGGGGCAGCCTGCAGCTTTTCGGTGCTTGGAGAGGGCATTGCAGCTTCTGACCAAGTCATCGCAGTGGGGAAGGCCATCAGGAACGAAAACGGAAACAGCAAGGAAGTTGTGGATAACCGTAGCAAAACTCTGTTCCGCCTCAGGGGGGCAGCTGCGGCACCAGTGCTGCTGACACTTCTATTTGGCAGGGCTGCTTGCCCGAACTTTTCGTGCTCAGAGTTTCTTACCTCCGGTCGGTGCGGATTGGCCTGAACTCAGGGAGCGCAGTGACCATTGCCGCCGATGGGACGGTGTCGGTGCCTTGTGCTTCAGTCTATGCAAGACAGCGACATGCCAGACAAGATGCCATGGGCATTCTTGCGAGCTTGTATTCGTCAATCGGCCCGGGAGCCGGGAGGGTGCCTCATCCCAAGTGCAGGTGACGGCATCTGATCTGTCCCAGGGTGGCCAGTGGCTGATGTGCTACTGCTCATCGAGCACAACATGCTTTCAGGACAATCATTCTCAATTTTAGCCGATGTGTTTGCACTCTGGGTGAAGGCATAACGACCCGGAGCGCCTGTAGAGGTGAAGAGTACGCTTGTGATATCTTGCAATCGCCTGGTTGGATGTAAAGATTGCGAAGCGCTTTCCAAGTTCGTGTCAACCATGTCATGCCACGTCATTCCCCATGACATGGCTAGTCAAGTGCATGGAGAGCATTGCAGAGCATGCGTGCTTCCGTGGGGTGACTGCCCATGAGTGCATTGTGCATGCATGTCTCCGGGGCTGCACGTTGTCGAGTAGCTTCCGCTCAGCTGGGGCTGTTCTGAGGTGAACAAATAACGTTGAAGCTCTGCATCTCCTGTTGCCGCAATTGGTTCCCGTGACTTATGTTGCCAGCTTCACCGCCAGGACCTGGACTTCACAGGCATGGTCGGGGTGCTGAGTGTTCTCGGGCCAGCTCCGACCACTCAAACACAGACACTTGTCTCGTCATCTGAAGACACTGTCAGTTCCCGTTCCGGCTACAGCGGTAGCCTGTAGCCTCGAAAACCTTGCCACCAGGATCTGCGTGACCGGCGTGGCCTGCACCCTGGGAGAGTACAGTGGCTTCGGGATCACCGGTGCAGATTATGCGGCTTGCCGGCACAGAGCCTTTGAGCCAGAGCACCAGCTCAGAATTGAAGAGGGAGGACTTTCGCACGGTCTGCTCAGAGGTGGGGATCATCGACTGTACACCAGACCCTGGTCAGATTGTGGACACCTGCTGCAGCTCCTATGTTTGGTCGTCGTGCCCTGGAGCCATTTGTGGTTCGCTTGATTGATGGTTTTTTCGCTGGGGTATGGTTTGGTCATGTGGCTCCGCGGAGGCATCTTGATGTGAAGTTTCGGGGCGGGTTTTGCACGACCATGGATGGGTTGCGGGACCATCCACCACAGAACTTCAGACGGATGCAAAGTCCTTCCGCAAGCTTTCGCCATGAGCAGCTTGACATCAATCAATTCTCCCGGCGACCCAGAGCCCCATGGCACTGCCGCAAGGTTTCCTGGCGGCGATCGCCTCCAGCAGATCCAGGTGCTCCGGTGTGAACTTGGAGCAGGGTGTCCCAGCCACTTCAACCTCAAGACCTGAGGTAACATCCAATGCTGCATACGTGCAGATCTCTGCATCTCAAGTCCTTCCTGGAGGCACACGACTCTGCGAAGCCTGGCTCCTGTTTCTACTGATGTAGTGTCACAACCTCGGCCGAAAGATGTCTGCAGGTTAGTAGTTTGCAGACCGGCCTGCTCTCCAGGCCAATATGCCGTGTGTCACTGCATGGGGGGGACGTGCTCCGGGGCGGTCGCCGTCTCCGCGTTTGGCCTGCTGGAGGCTCCTCAGCTTTGGGGACTCTGCTGCTGTTTTTTGCTGTTGAGAGAGAGTGAGCCAGCCCTGTAGGGAGCAAAAGCGTCAGGTCCTCGGCCCATCGTCGGTGCTTTCACACTCCTGCGCGGCGGGCACCAGCTGCACCCTCCCGAGCCTGGCGGGCCAGGGCATGGTCAAAGGAGACCAGGCACCGGACGAATTCACGCCTGGGCGTGTTGTGACATGTGACATTTGGCCGGCTTGCATCGTCAGCATTGATGCAGACAAGGCTCTCGTGCAAAGAATCCCTGCGGGCTTCGGTTGGTGGACAGGTCTTGCTTGCAGCGGTGGGAAGCTGCGGTGCAACACTGGCATCTGCCGCAGTGGGGGCAGGCATCCCGAGATCAATTCCCGATCATTACGTTCAGCCAGGGCAGCGAGGGGCTTCTTTCTGATTTTCTTGGTTGATCTCTTCTGAGGAACCCGACCTAGACTCGACTGTGCCAGCGCATTGTAATCATTATTGTCTTTCAGCGTGGTGGTAGCCGGCTCGTTGAGCCCGACGAACAGCACGCAGGCAGCGCCAAGCGCCTCAATGCTACGGGGGCAGTGAAGCATGGCTGCAAGGGCTAGGTCCTAGGTGTGCTTTCGGGAAGCTAGGTGATCTGGGTCGTCCTTAGCCTGGGCTTTGAAGGATCGCTGGAAGCTTTCAACTCGCCACGGCCACAGGATGCTGTCCAGCTTCGATCTGCCGACGGGTGGTGCCTTGACAGCACTTGAGACAGGTCAGGGAGCTTGCGGGCGACTTACAGAGCGGGCATCCGCCATTGCGACGTTATTTGAGATGTCTTGATCCAGGGATTCTCATGGCTCAGAGCTATTGCGAGGTTTCTGTTTGTGCAGATGTTGTCAGACAATACACTAGTGAACAGTTTGATGTTTTATTGGAGAGATTTGCTGTGTCAGGAGACTGGGAGCTTTGCTACTGCGCCGCAAGCCGCAGCTCCTGCCGCTCATCCTGACCCCAAGCAATAAGGTAAATGGAAGGCTTTGTCCGTGAAGCTGGAGAGTCCAGTGCTGGGTTGCTAGATATGTCGTTGCCTGGGTGACGTGTTTTGTCGCATTCCTTCCACGACGTGCCAGAAGCACTCTGAACTGCACTGAGGGTCCCGAATTGCAGAGCAGCTAAGCCCGTTCCAGCTGCGAGACTTTCCCTGCTCCAAGAACCCCGGAAAGAAACGCTGTCAGAAATTTCCGTGCGCCCCCACGCCCGAAGCCATCCCCAAGATGCGGAGCCGGAAACCCTCACAAGACATTCAAGGCGACGAGGCTTCCGACTTCGGTGCTTCAGCTATGTTGTTGACAGCCAGCGGCCCCACCCCAGTGCAGGCCGAAGCATGAAGTAGCTGCTTATTCATGTACACATAATCCAGTGCGCAACGGAGAGGCGTGCCGAAGCCAGCATATGAAGATGCAGTAGATATACAGAGAACTGAACAAGAAGACGCAAGGCAGCACACCGAACAGTCACAGATGTATGAAATGTCTTCTTACATGCGGCGAATCTGAAAAGTAGCCGCCATGCATGACCTCGTGCTTGTATGCCATCGGGTCGTCACTTAAGCACGGCTAGCTTCGGCATTGACTTTTGGTGTCCCTCAACGATGTCATTTGCAGGACGTCCGCGTCCCAGAGCCCAAGCGTAGAGTCCGCACCGTAGTTGGCGGAGAGGTGCCAAGCAACTTCAAACCAGGACTACGCGTGCACTGTGTCGAGCACGGCGGCCAGTACCTGCAGCCTTGGAACCTACACTGGATCTGGAGTGACAGCTGCAGACGAGGCCTTCTGCAGAGAGTAGCTGCTATCCTTGCGTGCAAACAGCGCAAAGCTTGCTAAGATGTTTGCGCCGGACCGGAAAGCATGGCTGCAGGTGCTGCTGATTGCTGATGGCAGCACTTGCGGCAGCAGCGATGGTGACCCTGACCTTTCTATGGTCCGGGCCTCGCAGCCGATGATGTATTTACTGGGTATGGGACTTCGTCAAAGCCAGAACTAACAGACCGGTGCACGCTGTCATGAAAGCATCGCACAAAATGCAGCATCTTTGGAGGGCTGGCAGCTTCCACGGTAAATGCTTTGTTGGGGTGCGAAGCCAAGGACGGAAGCCGGGGGGTGATTGCAGGCACTGTCCAGTCCTTTGATCGTGGAGGTCGTTGGAGGCGGGGTTCTCTCAATTCGACATGGCATTGTGGAAAGAAACATGTGAAGCGTTTTTTTGGACTTCGCGCTTCTGCGGCTCTACCGTTGCTCTCGGTAATCTTATGCTGAAGACGGTGTGGGTCACACGTAAGACATGTAATATGCTTTGGGTTTGTGTTTGCGGAAGCAGGGGTTGCCCTTGGCCCGCACCTTCTCGCCAAGGATTTGCTACTGCCCTGCTGCAGACAGCTCCGGGTCGTGCAGCGGCTACCAGGACTACAGTGCAACTGCAGGACGCCTCGAGGCCACCGAGCAGCTGCGCTAGGCGGCTAGGCGATGAGGTATTCTCATCGATGGCTGCTTCTGCAGGTCTCGGGCCCGACACCTTTGCAGCAGGAGACGGGAAATGTGTGTGAAGAAAAGGCACCGCTTGGACCTTTGGCCAACGCTGCCAGGACAAGACGTGCTATGCGGGGGAGACTTGCTCAGTGTCCGTCCTAGGAGTCGGGCTGCTACTCGGCGAGTAGTTCATGCCGCACAGGCGAACTCTCATCTGGCATGACTGCAAGGGGCTCATATCCACATGGCTGTTGGAATGGACGGCCCACGTTTCATGAGGTTGGCAGCTGACAAGCTTGCTGTGCTCTCTAGCATCTCCGATGTCTGTGGCGCCTCCAGGTTGCACCAGTCAACGAATGCAAACGTTGTTCTTGGATGAAACATAGGTGCGCAAGCGATGGCTAGCTGCAGCGAAGCTAGCAGTTGACAGGAATGGTCCAGTTCCCGTTTCTGGGTTATTTTTCGGCCATCATCCATCTCAGGTTGATTCGCTGATGATAGACGCAGACCTGGGCGTCAGCTTCACCGTCAGGGTCTCGGCTGATCGGTCCTAGACCATGTCTCAAAGTGGTTGCATCGGTGTCGCTGAAGCTTCGAAGGTGGTGACTGCGGGCACCTACAACCTCTGCTTCTGTGCCAGTGCTGCAGGCAGCTGTGCTGCCAGCAGTGGCTTTGGTGTGGCTTGGTCCGCATTTATCTCTGTCCATAGATTCACGTGCGCGGATACCTCACTTTGAGAGACCATTTCCGAGGTGGCTCTTGGCATATTGACTGTGATCAACGTGCCAGCCACGCCGGGTGGGGGCGTGCCTTAACAAAGGTCATTCGTTGTGCTTAGGAGATCTCGCAACTCCCACTGTGCCAGTCTGTGCGTTTCGAGACGGGCATCGCGCCGGGCTTGTTTCGGGAGCCCAGGTGTTTGCTTGTCACGCCGGTGTGGACTGCAGCTTGATTCTGCGGGCCTCGGGTGGATTGCAAGGACTATACAATGTAGAGCTAGGGCCTCGGGCGGAGGCTCTGGTGTTTCAGGTTTTTCTGTTTGTGCTGCTTTCCCACCGATGATTTTTGAGCACATGTTGTTGACGACGTAGAATTTATGTGACTCGAGATTTGGATTCTGTACGCGAGACAGATGTTTCCGACTCTGATCAGGTAGTGGAACGAGGGGCAAGCTCGAGACATGTTGGAGAGTTAGGCTCTATAGCACTGACAGGTGACTGAGTCCGTGTGACACAGAGAGGGTTTCGTTGTCTATACCTTCGGCAAACCTCAATACTTCCAGTTGCTGTGGCAACAGACAGCGGCCAACCCAAGGAACGTCGATAAAGTCTTTAAATGCCGACAGCAGACCGCATCCTACATGAAATGCGACACTGGCTTAGATTGAGCGTCCGTGTGCTAGGAGATCTGAAGTCACATATCACCTTTTTCCATGGTGCCAGGATCTGGTGGTGTTTTAGATGCTTTTGGGCGTGACGGGCGGTTGTTCGTCCTTGACAGCTGCATGGGATGCATTGTTCAGTGCGGACAGGAAGTGACGTCATCCACCTCATCGCTTCCACTGGGACCTGCGGTGTGGATGCTGCCGTAGGAGGAATGTCCTACACTGCGACGGGCTCCCCACCGGCGCTGACTTTCGCTGTGGGCAAGCTTGTGTCCGGCACGTACAAGGTCTGCCACTGCCCCAGTGTCGATGGCGCTGATGTGGACTCCACGGCATGTAGCAGCGCGGATGAGTTCACCAACGAAGCAGGGCAGCTCGATGTGGAAGGGGTTGCTTGGCTACTCATTGGACATGCTAGCAGACTATGCTAGCAGATAGCAATAACAAGCACTGCGGCACTGCGAAAGCTCCTGCTCCTGCTCACGGTGCAATCTGTTCAGGTGACTTCACTGGGAGCTTTGGAATGCCTCGCAGGCCAGGGCTGCAGCCTCGGCCCTTGGACGGGTTTCCGCTCCAGCCAACGCGTGATCTTCATCGCAGACACAAGCGGCACAGGCCAGAAGCCACTCTGGAAGGGTACTCTAGCATTTTGTCATCATGCACAGACGTTGACTATGTCCAAGGGGTGTGTTTGTGGTAACTTGGGAACAGGATGCAGCAATGTTGCATTGGACTCGGTTTCTTGGCTTGCACCTAGAAGTTGTTTATACGACCACATATATCTTTCTTTCTTTCCATGTGCCTATCTATTTGTGTGTCTATGTATCTATCTCTCCATCGAGCTTACAAGTAAACGTACATACACACATATCCACACATACACGCACTGCAGAACCATGTTTTACGGGAGCCCGAGTTGAACCATACCTTGCAATTGAAGAAGAATCCAAATCGCTGCTGAGACGGCGGATGCCCGGGATGCTGCTGGCCAGGCGGGGCCCCGGCAGAGATGCTGAGTCTGGTGTGCCGTCGGCGGGTCCAGGCTTCGCCAAGAGTGGCACAGGCCGTGTCCAAGGCTGTGGGCTCTGGGGGCATGCTGGAGCTGACACAGGCACCCAACCACCCTTGTTGCATGGTTGTAGGTCGGCAGTATTGGCATTCTCGGGTTTTATGCAGGCCGATGTTCCGTACGGAGGCCAGTGGCAGCAGCTGGGTGGATTTTCATGAGGTGTTCTTCGCCTCGATTCGGTTGATGCGCATTGTCAGCAGCCAGCTCAGGTTGTGCTTATGTCCCACGTACGACGGTGCAGATGCCGACGGAGAGGCGTGCAGCTCGACAGAGGCCCGCCATCGCGGCCCTGGCTGAGGGCCAAGCTTAGCTTCCCCTTCGGCCCTCGGCCCTGCAGGAATTCACCGTCACGGCCGGGATCCTGACAGTGCTGGGCCCCTTTGTGCCTCAGAGGAATGCAGCTGAGTTTGGATCTGTGTCACAGGCGCTCTGATGGCGCTCCTCTGAGGTGCAGGATCGGATCTGCGTGGCCGGCTCCGACTGCGTTCTCGGAGGCAGTCTCGGCGGTGGATTCGTCGGCCAGGGCTTGTCGGCGAACGATAAGCTCGCACTGACACCCTTCGGAGGACCGCAGCAGAAAGCAGCAGAAAGCATCCGAGAGCTGGAGCTTCCTCGAACTTGAATCGCCTCAGGAACTTGTGGCTACTCAGACCACGATGTGGACCAGTTTGGTGCAGGCTACCTCGCACTTAGAGACCTGGCTAAGGCTTAAGATTTGCAAACGGGGCGGGAGACGGACTGCAAAATGCATGTTAATCGTAGGAATGTGGCAGCCCGCTGTTTAGCTTTCGCGGTCGTTTTGCTTGCCAGAACGGCTGACAGTCATTGGCATGTCAGTGGCATTGGCATTGTGAACGAGGCCTTGATGGCTCCAGCTACATCCACAACCTCTCAGCAGGCACGGATTCCGCATGGACAAGAGCGGTATACAATCTCGGGTGTTGCCAGTCGAGTCTCGACTTTCAGCGACACCTTAATTGCATGATGTATACATCTACGTGCTGTTGCACGGTTCTTGCAGGTGTTCTCGACAAGGGTGGCCGCTGGAACGTGTGCTACTGTGCCGCGGGATCTTTAGGCGCAGGCATCACCGGATTGGAAATCTTGTCTTTCTGTCTCTTCCTGTTTTGTGTGTTCTCCCTGCCTTCCCCTCTCACCAGCATCTGTTGCGGCAGAGGGTACTGGCAGGCCACTGTACCGACGTTACTCACTTCGGAGCTTTTGCTGGCTACCTGCAAGTGAATGGGCCCACTTCCAACACGCAGGACATGCCGAAAGCTGGAATGACAGTTGCAATTGAAATATGAAATCGAGTGCAATCGGTCCTCTTTGTAGGACCAGATGTGCACTGCCGGTTTCGCTTGCAGCATCCATGTGGCCGGCGAGAGTCTGCAGGCAGGCAACGACTTTGGCTAGCGGTTTTGGCTGCATCCCACTCTGACTCCTGGCTGAGGCAGCCACTGATGCAGCGATCCTGGTGCCAGTGTCAAGTTGCGTGGCTCAGACCAGCGGCACCATCGGTTGTCATGCTTCCACGGCAGTTCGGGAGGAGCTTCAAGCACCAGTGCATGCCTGTCGACAGGTGCTTGTGGAAGTAGCCGGGATGCAGCGATGCTGGGCGGCGGCACTGTCTCCGTCCAGAGCGGGGGCGTCACTCGGCTTCGGAGATGTAGGGGGCGGTCCGAGCGTGAGCATAAAGAGTACGTAGAGCAGCTCACGGTCGCTAGTCGATCTGTGCCTTGAGGTCCTTGAGCTGTCGGCTTCGGACTTGCCCGTCGGTGGGCAGTGGTTGATATGCCGCTCGAATTCAGGGTACATGGGGACGCTGCTGGAGTGCTCTTGCAGGTCTAGGGCTTTTCCTGGCATGCAACAGCTCAATAGCTCATGCCAGCATAATATGTCGAGAGAGCCGGCACGAAGGCAGCATGAGCACGATGCTGCGTGGCTTGGATCTCTGTGCTCTGTGGGTTTTCTGGTTCTTTCACCAAGGTTACTGCGTTACCCTATCCGGAAGCTGTGCGGACGACGTCTTTTTTTCTGCATTGGTGGGGGTGCTCTCCGTGAATGGCCCTTCATCAATCTCGCAAGACAGGCCCTTAGGGGCAACGGATTGAGGGCAGTCCGGCGAGCTTCTTTATAATTACTAGACGTCCATTTCATCAAGTTGCCATCTTAATGTCAAGCTACTTGTAGGTGCCCGTTCAAGTGTCGCTTTGCATGGTCCTTCGCAGGTCATGCGTGGCTGGCCGACCTTGCAGCGAGGATTGAACTCAGTTTTCGATTCTTCCGGGAACTCCAGTCACCCTGCAAAAGTTTTCGTGTGGCTTTGGCTCAGCCCAGGCAACCTCACTGCCGTAGGCCAAGGGCTCTCCTCGCTGGACCGGCTCCGAGCTGTGGTTCTCCGACCGCAAGCACCGGAAGGCAGTCGGCAACTTTGCCGCTGGTACAGCTGAGGCAAACACTTCCTCGTGCGGAGCTGCGGCCGCTGCGGTGATCTTCCGGGGAGAGGAGTGGAAGTTCTTGGTTTGCTTTCGGCCTTCCATGCCTGGGCATCAGGACAAGGAGCTGAGCTTCGATCAGTCTTCCGGCCTCGCACAGTTGATGCTGTCCTCCGCGCAGCTGCCTGCAGTCTCGCGGCCGCCAGCAGAGTTTTTTTCGGCCAGCTGCCCGCTGAAGTATGCCGTATAAGCATTCTGTAAGTTCTCTGTCTGTGCACAGGGCGGCCACTGGAAGCTCTGCTACTGTGCAAGTTTTGTCGGTGGGTGTGCCTTGGCTGATGTGATGTTTGCGATGATGGAGTGGGGAAGACGACGGCGCTGAATGACAATTGTCCTTGAAGGGGCATCTGTGCTCAGGTGATGATGATGACGAGTTTGGTGCGAAGCTGGGGTTTCTCACCGTGCACGGGCCCAACACCAACGGCCTACAGGTTGTGTGCACTGCGGGGCAGGCGTGCACGATCCAGCTCGTTGGCTACATCTCGGTGGGGGACTGGATAGGTTTCATGTCCAACGATTGCGGCGTCGATGCCCGAGATCCCTCGGTCGCGGGAGATGCATACCACCCGCTACTTTATTCCTCGGGGACTTCGACCTGGGATGCGACCTTGCCTGCGGGAGATGTGGGCTCAGGTGGAGCCACGGAGCGAGGAGGGACGTGGCACATCTGCTACTGCTCTTCAGCTGATGGCGCGGGCTGCAATGCGGCGGGTGACTACACAACCCGCGCAGGCATCCTCACTCTCTACGGTCCTTTGTCCAACCAGGACCTGTCATAAGACTTCTGCTTGGAGCCATGCTGCGCTGCGGGCTCTCCACGGAAGCTGCAGTTACAAACTTCCCCCCGAAAAGCCCGAAGGCCAAGAGGAGCAGGAGCCGAGCTGAGAATCTCTAGGAAAGTTCCCCCGAAGGACCAGCGCTGCACCGCCGGCCAGGCCTGGGAGCCCCGGAGACCTGGAGCCTCGTAGGGAGCTGCGCGCTGCATATGCGCACACACAGACACATCGATGTCAGTGCCGCATCATTTCATTTCTGTGGACATCACCTCTGTTCCTGTTCTGGAGGCCTGCACGCTTCGCTTCGCCGGGCAGCGGCTCACCAGCTTCGACCACTTGGCACTGGTGGCAGAGGCTCACACGCGGAACAAAGATAAAGCAGAGCCACCCGAGCTTAGGTCACAATGTGCCTCTAGCAAAGCTACGGCAAAACTCCCAGCCTCGAAATGTCTCAAATTCTTTTCGAACATATGCGACATGCTCTGACAAATCAGAGCTCGAGGGCGGCAGCTGCGGGTCGACGGCCCCGGATGCGACAGTGGCATCAGGCGGCTGGGATCGACTGGGTGCATAGGTTCTCCGCGTGGGGCTTTCAAGGCTTCAAGGGTCAACCTGTACGATGTTCTCCACAAAATACAGCCGTGCGCGTAGGACAGGATTGGTCGAACAATAACGGAGCTTGGCGGCTGTGCCGATTTTTCTAGAAGGGGTCGACGTAGTGACGTAGCATCTTCCTCGCTGTTGGCTACATGCTAAGCGTTGCCTGGCGGCTGCGACGTGATAAACTACTGGTTGAATGCAGCACGAGAGAAGTGCAAAAGAGCCGGCGTGCCGCAAGATGCCGCAAGAAGAACTGCCCCAAACGTCGGCACATTTCGTGGAGCGCACAGAAAGGTAGAACAACGCATCAGCTCTGTTGATGTTGGAGTTGCCTTGGCAGGAGGCTTCCTGGCACTTTCGGACCAGACTCTGAGTTTGGCAGGCTCCGCCCTTCCTCAGGGAGGGAGGCCGGGCAGTTTTTGGCTGTTTCGAGGCTTTAAGGTGCGGAGGGCCAGAGTCATTGACAGCCGGATATTCCCCTGACAATCTGGACAGGTGGAAGATGTGCTACTGTCCTGATGACTCTGGTGGCGCAGCCTGTGGTGACAACGGTAATGCCGATTTCGGAGTGGTTCGTCTGCAATTCAGGAGATGCTCCGCTTTGAAAGGCTTTTCACACTTGCCCACACTGCACTTGCAGAGCAACCATGAGCAACCGGTGGGGGATGTCACTGTGCGTCACCCAGACCAGGTACTGGCTGGGATTCTCGTGGTGCGCGGTCCCAGTCCGTCGCAGTCCTTTCTGTGCGTGCCTGGGTCTGAAGTAGTAACCAAAACCCGTCACCTGTTGGATCATGCAGGACTTGGAGTCGGTTACAGGCAGCAGCAAAGCAGGGCCGCGTAAAAGCGCCGAGCAGCAGTTTAGAGCTTGATTCAATGTCAGTTAGGGGGTGATGTACCGCTGCCAGCAGTTGATCGGAGAGAGGTTGCCGGCGTCAACTGCGTCCTGGACATCAACGGCACGGAGCTCGCAGCCGAGGACCCGAAGCTGGCCTGCTAGGGATGTGCAGAAGCCGGAATGTGCGTCACTGGAAATGTCGGAGGACCGCGTCGCGCTCGTGCCATCTGCCGGGCCGCATGCATTGCAAACAGAGAGCGCTTGCTCGGGCTCTACCTACCCAATATGCATCTATCGACTTGCTGAGTACATCATTATGCTTGGGCTTCCTGTGCCGACGTGCTGCTGAGCCACCGAGGTCCTGTGGTGCAGATGAGCGGAGTCGCTCGCTCGCTCGGGACATGTATCGGCAGGCAGCAGTCCCTGCGTGTTGTCCTTGATCCTTGTTGTGCTGCTTGCAAAAGGATGCGAAAAACGAGCTGCTTTTTTTTTTTAAATCTCTTTTGGTGCCTTGCTGCGTGATGGGTCGGAACCGCTCGTCGCTGTGAGGTGGATGCGTTTGGCAACGTGTCGCTTTCGGCTGCCGACCTTCCGGTCGGAGGAACCTTCAGAGTTTGTTACTGCGCAGCGGCTTGGCAGAAGCCTTTGGCCACGGCTTCTCATAGCGTGTTTCGCATGTTTCCCGAGATTCCTTAATCTTGCTGGTAGTCTTTGGTGTGAACATGGCACGAGTCGGCACCAAACCAAGGACTTCGAATCTTGTGACTCCCTTGGCGTCCCTTGGCTGAGAAACAAGGTGTTACCCAGCTACAAGTGGTGGCGGGGTGCTGTGCTTCACTGCTTGCTTTGCCTTCTTCCTCACATCGGTTCTTCGGCTTCCCTGCAGGACTTCGCTGCAGATGCTGGGCTGCTTACGGTGCATGGCCCGACCGGTGCACAGGTGTCTTTGGGAATGAGCCCATGAATCCAGCAGAGAGCGAGTCGAGCCGTGCGGGGTGTCCTCCATCTGGCTTCCGTAGGAAGGCTTTGGTGAGCACTGGGGGAACCAAGGTGTGAGGAGAGTACGGTCATGCAAGCTGCATGCAAGTAGTCGAATTGCACGAAGGCCTCGTGACGACAACAAGAATTACCTGACAGAAGTCCGTAGTGCTGCCAGGACTCCACTTGTCGAGCTGGGCTTGCCTGTTCTGTGCCCAGTGCCGGCTTCACGGCAGAGGGTCGCAGCACACAGGCGGGCTCCAGGGATCGAGGTTCGATCCTTTTTTGCGCACAGATGCCCCGAGGTATGTAGATGGTAGATGTGAGGCAAAGCTTCTTGGACGTTTCTGGTGTTTCCCAACATCCAATACGCTGGAAGGATGCCGTGGCCCTTGTTTCCTACGACGACGACTGTGGCAATGCGACCGCTGGCGTGCTAAGCAGCGGGTCTGGGAACTTTAGGCAACTTGCGAGTGAGTCCCGGCCGGATGTTGTGGTCTGCACAGGTTCCGTTAGCCGTGTTGTGTAGCACACGTGTGTGCGCATGGACATTAGCGACTCGTCGTGCCGGCAGCTGCTCCGGCTCGACGTCGCTTTTTCGGTGACCAGGCGTTTTGTGTTTTGTAGCATCCTCCCGGCTGAGCCAAATCCTTCTCGCCGGCAGACATCGAGGCGGCCTTCGTGGTGATCCTGGCGGCGCTGGAGGAGGGGGAGGACTTGGGTCCCTACCTCCAGCAGTGCCCGCCGGGTCCCCGGCGAGCTTTGATGCTGATGCTGCAGGCGTCCTTGCCAGGCCGGACGGCGGGGAATGCGAACCCGGCAATGCCTAAGGCAAAGCAGCCGGCAGCTGCCCCCGGCTCTGGTGGCGCCTCCGGGTCAAATGATGCAGCCCCCGGCGGCAGTGGTGCCTCTGGTTCCAACGATGTGGCGGCGTCCAGTGCGGCAGGGCCCACCGTCCCGGAGCCTAACCCGGAGCCGCCGGCGGCGGCGCAGGTACAGGGCCACCCGGCTGGCCGGTGCCACCGCTGCAAAAGCGGCCTCCACCTGCGCCGGCGGGTCAGGCTGATGGCCAGCAGCAGCCCAAGGCGGCGGCAATCCCGGCTAAGCCCATGCCCAAGGGGCCGCCGGTGGCCTTGTGGCAGTCCGAGGGCTTCAACTCGGAGGCGGATGCCCGGCAGGCCCGGGAGCTGAACTACTTTGTCTCCGCGGCGGAGTTTGGGCGGCGGCTTCCGCGAAGCAGTCATCCTTCCCGCCGGCGAAGCCGGCTCCGGTGGCGAAGACGCCGGCCCCCAACTCAGCGGAGATGACGGCGCTGCAGAACCAGATTGCAGCAGAGATCGCGGCGGGGGCCCCGGCACAGCCGGCTTCCACCGGCCCCGCTGCCCAGGCGCCCATCCCCCCCGGTTTCGTCCGCATGGAGATTCGCGGCGTTACCTACACGGTCAACCGGACCACGGGGGAGGGCTTCCCGGAGTTGCCACGGCGTCCTGGCCGGACGGCGACGGAAGCAGAGCGCCGCCACAACGATGAGCTCTTTCGGCGGCTGGTGGACGTTCGCTTCAGGCTCTGCTCCGTCGAGTGGCAGAACCACATTCGGCGGATCAACCAGCCTGGCGCCTCTTCGGATATCCCGATCCCGGCGGCGATGATGGCCTCCATCGTCGCCTCGGTGGAGGCCCTCGAGGAGCTCGAAGATCGGGCGCGGCTTGGCGGCAGTGCAGCCACGGCCGTGGTGCCCACGGCGCCCGGCGCAGCGGATTACATAGTCCGCTCGCTGGTGCCTAACCATCGCGGCGGTCGCATCCCTGAGCGGCTGGCCGGCGAGGTCTGGTGCGTGGGCTGGTGTGGACGGCCATGCCCCGGCTTTGAAGGCGTCTGCCAAAGCCCCGGCGGCAGATGCCTACGCCCGGTTCTGATTCGGCGTGGTGGCACGGAGGACCTGGAGGCGCACAACAACCACCTGTGCGATGCGTGCCGGCGCTACCGGAGCACGCGTGACGGCCGGTTCTAGTGCCACCCGCCGGCGGGCTACTTTGACCTCGGCGAGACCTACCTCTTCCTGGCGATCACCCGCATGGTAGGTCTCCTGGCGTAGCCCTTAGCCGGTTTCTTCCCTCCCTTTTTGGTCCCGGCGGCGCCGCGATGCCTTCGCGGGCCTCTCCGGCGGCCGCAGGCCCACGATACTTTAATTAGTTTCTGCAGTTGCTTCCCGGCGTGCCGTAAGTGCAGGTCGGGAGGCCCAGGAGCCTCGGATCATAGCCTGGCGCGAAAAGTCGGCGGCGGTGTGTGACTGGAGTGCAGTCCGCAGCGGCAGTGCTGCCGCCCACCCGGCCCGGCCCCTTCTCCCCTAATCGTCGTGGCCCGTTCGTTGAGGTCGTAGCGGCTCAAGATCCCCCCCGGTTCAAGGATGTCGGCGGTTGACCTCTCGGCCGGCGGCGGGTTCGCGCAGGTGGCGCGGGCCTTCGTCGACATCCAGGCTCAAGAGTTCCTGCCGATCCTGCCGGCAGTGGGGGTGCGCGACCTCCAGGCGCCTTGGACAACACTGGCGCGCTGCTCCTGGCATGGGCCCGGCGCCGGAGAGCTCACGTCGAGCCCCGGCGCCCAGCCAGGCGGAGAGCAGGTTGGCCCCCGCCAGGCGAGCAGGGCGAGCCACCAGAGGCGCCTGGTGGAGTGGAGCCGTGCCAGGCGCAGCCGGTCAGGGCTGACATCCCGGTGCGGCGCGATGGTCGGCGAGCCTGCAAGAGGACGGCCCTACAGGCGGCCTTGCCAGAGCTCCAGGCGGAGTCGTTGGCGGACCTTGACGGCGCTATCATGGCGCGCTCCTCTGAAGGACCCTTCCGGTCCAGGGTCCGAACCTGGGTGGACTTCACGGCGGCGTGGGCCCTGCCGGCGTGGCCGATCTCCCTGGACTCAGTCAGGAAGGTCGCGGCGAGCATGCGGAAGGGTAGGTACCGCTCGGCGCAAAACTACTTCGACGCGGCGGTGACGGTGGACCCGCTCGTCCGGCAGGCCATCCGGCGTTACGCCAAGGCGGTGGTACGTGGCCTTGCGGGGTCCAAGCTCAAGGCGATCTTCCCGGCGATGCGGCTGGAGCCTCTGCTGGACCCCTCGCCGGCGTCCGCTGCGGAGCCGTGGGCCCCATGGAAGGCGGCGCAATCGGCGGATGCCCTCCTCCTGGCGGTGTGGTTCATGCTGCGGGAAATCGAATTCGCGGCGGCCCGCAGTGAGGACATTGAAGCCGGCGAGGACTGGGTCCTTCTTCGGATCCCCCTGCACAAGACGGCGCAGGGTGGTGAGAGAGAACTCACGGCGCGGCAGCTCCGCTGCGCTTGCGGCATCCAGTCCCGGCCGATCCGGCACATGCTGCACTGCGCCATGTGTCCCGGCTGAAAGCGGCGGGCCTCTGGCACCGAGGCGGGCCCTTGTTCCCGGATGCGGCGGGCGCCACCTGGGCCAAAGGTGAGACCGTCCTGCTCTTCCGGCGGGTGCTGCTGGCAGCCGGCGTGGCCCTCACCACGGTCGACCACGAGGGCCAGATCGTGCAGCTGTTCGCCGGCCACGCGGCGCGGGTAGCCGGCGCGGCCTGGCTTGCGTCCAAGGGAGTCCAGTTGCTGGGTCGTTGGTCCTCCACGGCGGTGGAGCGCTATGTTCAGGCGGCCCCGCTGGCGGTGGCCCCGGAGATCCCCGGCAGAGTCCTGGCTGGGAGCTACGGCGGCACGTCGGCCACCGATGAGGCTCGGCGAGCCACGGCTGGGGGCGTGGCGCCCAGCCCACAGATCCCGGATCCCCCGCTGCAGGAGGCGTCGCCGGGGACGCCGGTTGACCAGGCAGAGTTCTCCCCGGCGGTTCAGCTGGTGGAAGCCCCGCCTAGGGGGCCGGCGCCCGGTTGGAGTGGACACCCGCCGGCGCGGGAAGACCTCATCTACAACGAGAAGGGGGCTAAGGTGCACCGCCCTGTGACCCGGCGGAAGCTAGCACGGAGCAATTCTTGTGGAGGTCAAGGTGCGGCGCGTGGCCGTATGGCATCCGGCGCTTCTTTAGAGTGTCCGAGAAGCCGGCGTCCGCCGCTTGGTGCGCCCGCTGTTTCCCGGCGCCGGCTCGAGGGGAAGGTGAAGGTTCACCGACCGAGCCGGTGGACTCACCGGTGGCGTCCAGCTCGGCGTCCGAGTCGGACAGCTCTTCATCGTGAGAAAAACAGCCGGCGAAGGCAGTGCATAGTGAGCGGCTGTGGCAGTGCCTCCCTTGCTGGCGGTTGAGTGCATTACCTGCGGCGATAGCTCTCTGGCTCTCCTTTGTCGCCCGCCCTCGGCGTGCCTCCGCTTAGGTCTCCCCTCGTCGGTGCTGCGGCTGTCATGGCGGCTCCGGGCTTTCCCCCGGCTCCTGCGGCGCCTGCGGCGCCCCCAGCTGCGCCCGCACTGGCGGCGGCCATCATGACGCCGTTCGTGGATCTGGCGGCGGCGGCGGGGGCCGGCCCTCAACTCACGGCCTACCTGGCGGCCCGCAACCTGAACCGCACGGCGACTGGCCCTCATCGCACACTCCTGGCCGGAGTTTGAGGACCGCGTCGTCCGGCCTTTCCTGGACGGGGTGGAGATCGCCGGCACCGTGCACCAGGCGCCGGAGGCGGAGCAGGCGGTCGTCGAGGCTATCCTGCACCACATGTGGGCCGAGGCGCACAAGCAGTGGGCCACCCACATCGCGGTCCCGGCACCGGTGACCACGCCGGCCTCGTCGGCGGCTGCCCCTGGAGCGGTGGTGCCGGCCCTTCCCGGCGACAAGCCGCCGAAGACGTTCCCGGAGTGGGGGCCGCTGGTCAAGCGGTACAACGAGGTGACGGTCGCCGGCGAGCCCCGGGATTTCCTCACGACCCTCCTCCTCGGCGCGGAGGAGCTGCTGGCGCGCATGTACTTCGAGCACACCAAGTCGAAGGAGTACACGGCGGTCGGCTTGGGAGAGATTTTGCAGCGGCGCACCTTCACGCAAACCTTGGAGGTGAACCCGCTGGCGATCCGGCGCCACAAGGAGAGGGGCCAGGCGATCCGGTTGGTGGACGGCGCACTGGTCCATGACCGGGAGGACCCTTGGACCCCGAGGGGCTCGGCGTCATCGACGGCATCGAGGCGGTGCGCTGGGCGTGGACCCTCACCGGCGTGGCCACGGAGAAGTACGCCCAGTGGTGGACGTCGAAGGCCCGGCAGCGCCCATCCCAGCTCGAGGCGATCACGGAGTACTGGGACGCGTCCTCCTGGCGCCTGGCAATGCAGATGCGCCTTCGCCGGACGTTTGAGGAGGTCACGGCGGAGATCATGAAGGACCAGGCGGCGTTCCTGGACATCCTCTCCCGGCCGCGGCCTCCGGCGAGGAACAAGGTCAGCGAGGGCTTCAACCCGCCAGACCCGGAGACGGACGGCCCGCCAGGCCCCGCGGCGCACCAGGGGTACCAGCCCGGGCCCGGGCCGCACGCCGCAACAACCCCCGCCAGGCGCAACAGCAGCACCAGCACCGCGGCGATGAGGGTGAGCCGCGGCGGCGGTGGTGGCGGCTGGCGGCAGAACTGGCGCCCTCGGGGCGACTCCAACCAGCAGCCCGGCCGCCAGGACTGGCATGATGATCGGCGGTGGGCTAATGCCGACCGGGCCCAGTCGTGGCAGGACCGCGGCGGGAAGAGAGGCGCGCAGAAACGGCAAGTACATCCTGCTCTCCCTCTTTGACGGCGTCGGGGCGGCGCCGGCGATCCTCGAGGACCTCTTCGGTACACCGTGGGCGGCCATGGCGTGGGAGACAGACAAGACTTGCCGGCGCTTGACATCCATCCGGCTGCCCTGGCTCCGACAGAGGGGCGACTTCACCGCGGACTCGGTGGAGAAGGTGGCGGCGGAGATCAGGCGCCTGGACCCGGCCGGTGAGTGCGTGATCCTCCTCGTCGCGGCGCCCCCCTGCCAAGATTTCTCCCCAAATCGGCGCAGAGGCTGGCCACAGCGGCACTCGCGGCAGCCTGTTCTTGCGCTCGGCGGAGTTCGTCCTGGAGGTGAGGGCGGCGCTTCGTGGTTGGCGGGTCGGCTTCATGTTTGAGAATGTGGTCATGCAGCCGGCGTCAGCCAAGGAGGTGTCCGACTGCCTCGGCGTGGAACCGGCGCTGGTGTGCGCCTCCGATTTTGGGTGGATCTCGCGGCCGAGACTGTGGTGGCTCTCGGCGGACCTCCGGCAGCACACGGAGGACCCGGCCACCGGCGCCCCCCTGGTCTGGACCAAGAAGGGGCCATTCCATCGTCTCCGGCTGGAGGAGGCCAGGGCGGCGGCGGGCACACTGCTCCCGGAGGGCATGGCCTTTCACCCGGCAGTGGCTGCCATGCGCCACCACGCCGGCGGAAGATGAGAACGGCCGCCCGGCGCCGAAGAGAGCCAGGGGAAAGATCCCGGAGCCGGCGAGAGCCAGGTGGCTGGCGGACTCCCGGCAATTCGCCCCCTGGCACTACACCGAGGAGGCGATGCTACATGATGAGGCCGGCCGGCTCCACAACATCCCCGTCGGCGTCAAGGAGGCTCTCCACCACATGCCGGGGGGGTACACGGACCTCGACGACGGAGAAGACAGGACCCGGCACAGGATGGTGCACTGGGGAGTGGCCCGGCGCCTCTTGGCCATGCTCATGGCCCTTACGGTGGCACAGCCGGCGGAGGCGTCGGTGCCGGCAGCACCGAGGACCACCACGGTGGCGTGGATGGCCTCACAGTTCGGCGCCGGGCCCCTGGACATGAGCCCTCCGCCTCGCCTGGCGTCACGGCTCGACCTACCGGAGGACGACCCCGACGAGCACTGGCGGCAGGCGCTTCAACTGAGCCATTGCACGGTCACCCGGCGGCCCAACCTGGAGCCGGCAGTGGAGCGCGTCATGGAGCTCGCGGCCACCTGGCGCCACGACGTGGTCAGGATCCGCGGCGAGGTGCTGCAGGAGATCAGAGAGATGGTGGCGGACCGCGCGGAGGAGACGGCGGCCTGGCTGGCCCAGCGCCCGGCACCGGTGCGCAGCACCTACGCCACGGCGGACAAGGACCGGCCGACGCAAATCCCGGTCCTGCTGGAACTCCTCGGCGTGGTGGGCTATCCCGACATCGAGGGCCTCACGGCGGACCTAACCCAGGGATTCGACATGCTCGGCGAAGTGCGGCGCGGCCCCGGCTGGAAGGCCCGGAAGGACGGCCGCTACCAGAACCCGGTGTCCCTGGACCAGCTGGCGGCGACTAACTGGGAGTACGTCCGGAAGCGCGCCTCGGCAGCGAAGCCCGGCGAGCACGGGAGACCCTCCTGACGGAACTCGTGGCGGAGGCCAGGCTTGGCCGGGTGGTCGGACCAACGGTCCTGAACACGCCCGGCGCCGACCGGTTGGTACCGCCGGGCCGCCATTTTGCCGCGGCGTCCAGGAGGACGGCGAGGGGAACACCAAGGTGCGTCGAGGGGAAGACTGGCGGCGCTCGGGACACAATTCCACGATCCTGGCGCACGACGTTCCCACCCACCACTTCGTGGACGACGTGGTGGACTTCATCCGGCGCGTGGTGGAACTGGCAGGAAATCGTGGGGTCCCGGCGGCCAGGCTGTTCGGGCACGACCTGCTCAACGCCTACCGCCAGTGGGCAGTCCGGCACCCGGCCCACTCCGGCACGTTCCTGGCGACACCGGCTGGGCTGACACTCTGGTTTCACCTGGCCATGTGTTTCGGAGCCGCGGCGTCGGTTTGGAATTTTAACAGGGCCGCGGATGCGATGCAGGCGCTCACACGCGTTCTGCTGTGGCTGGTCGGCGGCCATTTCGTGGACGACTTCAACGGCGTCGACCTCCCGGAGCTCGCGGAGTCGGCCTTCCACTCCCTGGCGGACCTCTTCCTGGAGCTCGGCCTGCAGACCAAACCGTCGAAGGCCCAGGAGCCGGCGGCCCGGCACGTGGTCCAAGGAGTAGAAATGACGATTGAGGACTCCTCCGGGTCATCGAGGCGGCGCTGGAGACAAATGCCCTTCAGCCACATGCGGCGCAGAAGCTGGCGGGCAGGCTTAGCTTCGCGTCCCAGTCCACATTCGGCTGCCTCGGCAAGGCGGCGCTGAAGCCGCTCTACGCCAGAGCCCACGACGCGGCGGCGGAGTCGTCCCCAGAACTGTCGCTGGGGTTGGCGGCGGCTCTCCGGGCACTCCGGCAGCTCCTCGGGAACATCCAGCCCCGCTTTGTGCCGTTCGTCGACGACGGCGCCCCGCAGGCCCTGGTGTACGCAGACGCGTTCTTCCAACCGGGCGAGGTCAAGCACAAGGCGGGTTTCTTGCCGGCGGACCTGCCCACACCAAAGGGGGCACGCGGCAAGAACGGCTGGGGATACGTGGTCAGAGTCGGCGGCGAGACCTACTATGATTACGGCCAGGCGCCGGCCTCCTTCCTGGTGGCGTTCGGCTCCAGGCGGGCCTTCATCTATGTGCTGGAGATTGTCGCCCAGGTCCTGGCGTTGACAACGCTGGCTCGGCGGTTGCCGGAACGGTGGCTGGCGTTCATTGACAACGTTGCCGGCCAGTGGGCCCTGACCAAGGGCTACGGGAGGGACCCCGCGGTCAACGGCGTCCTGGCGGCGTTCTGGTCCCAAGCAGCGGAGATGAATTGGCTGCCCGATTTCCGGCGGGTACCTTCCAAGGCCAATGTGGCGGATGCGGTCTCCCGCGGCGACCTGGCCACGGCCGAGGCGATGGGCTGGACCAGAGTACGCACACCGGCGGCCAGAATCTGCGCCATCCTGGCGAAGACCGCTGGCGACCTCGAGTTCGCCATCCAGGGAGCGGCGGCGGAGCTGAGAACTTGTGCTATTTGAGTTTTTCCGGTAGTTCGGCTGTGCCGGCGCTGTGTGGGGGTGGGGAGCGCCGGGCGGGTAGCTCAAAGCTTCCCCGGCGCCGGCCAGCCTAGTTTTGGGCGGAGGCGACGGACCCGGCGCGATGCGCTTTCTTCCCATACAAAAGAAGGGTATCCGTCGTCTCGTGCTAGCCTTTTCGGCGTTGCCCTAAACGTCGATAGCATATGTCGTGTAGCACACGTGTGTGCGCATGGACATTAGCGACTCGTCGTGCCGGCAGCTGCTCCGGCTCGACGTCGCTTTTTCGGCCCACCCTCTACCACCCTCGTGTTGGGAGTGGGGAGGAGGCCTCCCCAGTATCGGCGAAGCCGTTTGCTGAAAGACTTGAGGGTCGTCCCCCGCCCACGGGCGGCGCGTCGGGTAGCTCAAAGCTTCCCCGGCGCCGGCCAGCCTAGTTTTGGGCGGAGGCGACGGACCCGGCGCGATGCGCTTTCTTCCCATACAAAAGAAGGGTATCCGTCGTCTCGTGCTAGCCTTTTCGGCGTTGCCCTAAACGTCGATAGCATATGTCGTGCTTCTGGCTGTAGCTTTTGAGTTCAGCTCAAGGATTTTCAGCTGGATCTCCTCCCGGCTGACATTCCGCATGGAGGACGTGTTCGCCCTAGTTGGCCCTAGTTGGAACCTTCGACTTGGAGTTGTCAGAGCTTGGAGGGGCGGGGCATAGAAAGCAAGTCCAGCCTTCATCATGCCTGGTTGGACTTGCGGCCCTTCACCTCAAAATCTGTCTAAGTCTGGAAGCCTCAATAGCTTGCAAGCCCACTCCAGCCAAACTCAGGCTGGAAGATGTGCTACTGCCTCGCTACACCGCTGGCCGACCTGAACACGGGTAGCTGCACTTCCTTGACGGACTTCCGCCCCCAAGCTAAACAGCGGGCTCCCGGTTCACGGAACTTTCAGGGCTACCAAGAATTGCATTGACCTGGTTTCTATGCCGAGGTGTTTCTGCAGGAACGCTGACGGTGCTGGGTCCAAGTTCGCATGCACAGGCGCAGCGGTGGACGGGGGCAGGGCCTTCGTTGTACTGAGGAGTTTAGCCCCCTGCTAGCAGGATTCGACGTGCCGTGCAGGGGTCCCTTGCACTTTGGGCGGAGCACGGGGCTTCCGCGGAGAAACTGCCAAGGGCGGAGACAAAGTGGCAGCTCGGCGCATGGTGCTCTGCTGCGGAATCACGGGTGTAACTCTAGACTCTGGAACTAGTCCAGTTTTTACGGATTTTTTAGCAAAGGCCCTTGTGGCCAGCGGCGGCACCTGCGGCAGTACGGCGCTCGACCCTAACGTGGGTTTCGGTGGCTTGCCTTGCAGTGGAACTAGATGGAGATGGGTCCTATTGCTGTGAGCTCTTGCAAAGTCTTGGGAGGGTGTTCTCTTCACAACGTTGTTGTAGGGACAGGGGTCCGTCGTCGTGACACTGCTCGGTTCTGACCAATTCGTTCCTTAGGGCAGTTTCTGGACCTGACCTGGCTGGATCAAGTGGACCTCATCGCCCTCCAGGCCAAACTTCCTGCTTTCACGTTGTGTCAATCCGCGAAGATGTCAGCCAGGTGCCTCAAGGTGGGCAGTGGCTGATCTGCTTCTGCAGCAATTTGGCCGGCAACTACAGGACGTCTGTCGGAGCACTGGTACCGATGCATTCTGCTCAAGCCACTCCCAGGTGACGGATATGGAGGATGCAATTCCTTCGACGACTTCCCCGTGCTGGCAGGGATGCTCACAGTCTTGGGACCAAGCCCGGCGACGCAGGCGACACGACCAGCAAAGCTTGACATGCCTTTGGATGTTCCCGTCTCACGTCCGCTTTCGTTGAAGCCTGGAAGGACGTGAACTGTTTGGCTGGACAGCCTTGCACCCTCACCGGCATGGCGGGGTTCACCGGACAGGGTCTCAACGTCTCCGCGGACAAGGCCGGCCATGGCAAGTCCTGCCATGCGGAGGTCCGTCCTCACAGGGCATGCGCCGACAAGTCTTGTAGCCAGACTTTGGTTGCGAAGCCGGAAGGTGCTTTTCACCACAGGCGTCTGTGGTGTTGCCGACAAGGATGTCAACATCAATCAAGACCTATATCTTCCAGCAGGCCACATGCTGGAGGTTGACTGACTCAGCACCTTCGCGCGGCAAGTGTTCTGACAAAGGTGACCAAGAGTTGAATTTAGCTGCAGCAGACTTGACGGCCCGTGGATCCTGGCGCATGTGTTGCTTGGTCTTGCTTTTGAACCTTGCTGAGAACTGAACGTGCTGTGCTTGACAGTTTTTTCTTCATGGAAGCTGTTGCAGTTGAGCTCATGTTAGCTCTGGTTTTTTAGCTCAGGCTACTGCTCCGATGGCTATGCAGCGTCCTTCATCTCTGATGGCTGCTCATCTCCGCTGGATTTCACTGCGTTCGTCGGCTGGCCGTTGCCCCAAGAAAAGTTCTTTGCGTGTCAAGTGACAGGGACAAGGGGAGCTTCTGGTGTGTCCCAGGCTCTATGTGCTTCCGGCCATCAGCACCGGGAATCTTTGGACACGCGTGCAATACGCCCCTTTTAATCTTGCAATCAGTGGCTCGGTGTTCAGATGCGGAAAGGGGCAGAGTGGTAAGTGGCAGCAAAAGGAGCGTGCAGAACTCAGGTGCCGTGGGGTTGGATCGCAGCAGTCCGGCGCCTCAAGGGCGGCTGAAGCTCATCGACGAAGGCGGCAGCTGCCAGTCCGATGCTTTGAGCACGAACGTCCTTGGCCTCAGCTGTGGGGGTGTCCTGGCCTGTGACACGGAGCCTACGGTCTACGAACTGCCTTTGGGAGAGACGGTGCATTTGTGGGCAGACTTGACAGTAACAGGGATCGGCATCTACCAGGTCTGCCATTGCGACACTGCCTGCAGCACAGCTTCGAGCTGGATCGATACAGGAACCCTCCATGTACAATCCCCGGTGTCGCTCCTCAATCCTAGTGGCAACTACGGCATGCCGGGAGCGATTGCTGCACGGTTGGCGTCGGCCACTGGTTTACCGACGCCTCTGCTCGAGTGGCGTTTCGATGATGCCCAAATCGAGTCCAGCAATTCCTCGGCGGGCTTAGATTGGATCGGGAGCAGCACGGCGCGTGGATCCGGCTCCGGCATCTTGCGACTGGGGTCGGAGCCGACGGGACATCACCTGGAGCTCCTTTCCGTTGACTTTACATCGTTGTGGGTGGATGGCAGGGCCGGAGGAGCCATTAGCTTCGATGGCTCCGCCTGGGGCTCCCCGCATCCCAGGGACCTCTTCTCTGCATCTGCGCTCGGGCTTCCGGTGCAAGAGATCACTGTGGCGGCATGGATCAATGTCGATTCCTTTGTAGATAAAGGGGGCATCGTTTCCTTTGTGCAGTTCGACGGTGAAGTGTCGGCTGGCTGGTCGCTCTTTGTGTCGTCCGCCGGTCAGGCGCACTTTATTTTGGCCACAGAGTTCAGTGGCCCTGATCTTTTCAGGCACGAGGTCAACTGGCTGGCATCCCCATCGTTTAGCACGCAAACCTGGCACCATGTGGTTGGCACGTACGATGGCTCCCTAGCACGGCTGTTCTGGGACGGCGTGGAGGCCGCATGTCTGTTTGGAAGCCTTGTAGGGCGAAGGCATATGCTTGCTGGATTTTCAGTCGATACTCGACTAGCTGCCACGCCGTCGTGCTTTGAGGTTGACAATCGTTCGGTGGCCTACCTAAACGGCTTGCGCCTCAAAACACACTTTTGGCTTGGCAACTTGCAGCAAGTACGGTAGACGCTTGGACTAGAGGCTACTCAAATGTCCTCCAAGATGCCAACCACACGCACGGTCGGATTCGATGCTCGGCCGATGGGTTTATGCCGGAAGCTTGCTCAAGCTGTCCACCTTGGTCTTGGCAGATTTTTGCAAACTCCGGTCCTAGGTCTTGGGCGCGCCTAAAGCACGTTGAGCTAGATGTTCATCGGTAGCTACCCTGGAGAGAACGGATGCCCGGGAGTTGATTCGCAAGTCTCGTTATCAGGATACTTGGACTCTGTGCTTTCCGTCGGTGCTTTCGTCGACAACCACAACCAGGCAGAAGGGATACTTTTCCTCGTTGGGCTTGGCCAGTTTCTGCGGCAGTTTCGTCAGATGGAAGGCGGAGGTTGACGAAACCCCGGTGCGTCATGTTGAATCCACATGCCACCAGCATCCACTGCCGTTAGGTAAGGGCTTTTTCCGGACTGCTTGGTACTTTCTTTGACGGCGCCTTCGCAGGGTCGCACCATGTCGGCTCGCCGCTTTCTGGTGTACCGGCCCCTGATCCCAGGTGTACTTCAGGGGACTCTTGGACGAGGTGCAGGTCTATCCCCGGGCCCTGGTCACATCGGAGGTGCTGTCCAGGGCCTCACCGCTTGGCTTGAAAGGTCGAGGGCAAAGGTTAGGGGCCTCGAGTACTAAAGAAGAGCAGAGGTCCTTCATGGGCGTGTTTCAGCCCTTGACAGGTACGGCAGCTCTACATGAGGTACACGGAGTGCAGCCTCTTCAATCTTCAGTCTCGTGGCTGTTCGGTTGTTCTTCGCTTGGTGTCTGCCTCCGTGCCTGTCTCTCCCGCCCATCCCACAAAAAGGATTGTAGGCGTGATTCAAGGTTGAGAAGCTATCTGCAGGTGCAACCCCATTGCAAAACTGAACAACGTAAGGTGCATGAAGTCCGACTATGGCTTTCTGCACGTTGGGAGCGGCGACTGTGCCAACAGCTCCAGCACCCAGTGTTGGTATGGCATGCCGAGCCAGATCCTGTGGAACGTGTTGCTAGGCTCAAGTCACTGCATGTCAGAATCCCGTTGTTGACAATCAATCTCCAAACTTCAATGGCTACCTAACGAAACACTCGAAGAGCGGAGTGAGAGCGTAAACATGTGCCGTCATCGTTGGCGGAGGCAAGTTGTCGGCACCACTGTGACTGGGATGTGGGGCCGGAGCTATGCGGAGCGGCCGAGGTGGCGAGGGCTCACGGAGTGCAGCACTTCGATAGTTTTCGGAATGCTTGTGCTACATCCGTGCTGCACAGGGGTTTCTTTCGCTTCCATATGGCGGAGGACTGCCTCAGCTTCCAGGCCTTGACAGCCAAGCAGTTGCATGCTAGTATCAGGGTCCAGGGAGGGGAGTGTCTTGTTGGCTACATGGTTGCAGCCTGGCTTCCATGAATGGTCGGGTATACGTGGTACATCGTTCGAGCAAGATAGTTCCGTGCCTTGTCCGAGGGATGCTGGGGCTATCTGCCACTCCGCCATTGCGATGATGCTGCAGACTCGTCCTCCGGTCCCTGGCAGGCCGGAAAAATTTGCGAGAGCAAACTGCACCCGGCATGTCTCGAGGGGCGAAACTTTCAAGAAGCCCGAACGCCTAGAGGAAGCCGTAAAGCTCGGATGCCCGCCTGGTTTGCATGTCTCAGGGCCAAGCTCCGGTCACTTCCCGTACAGCCCGATTGGGCGAGGCACCTCGGATGCCGGAGCTGCTTGCCACCTTGGGGCTCCGAAGCTGAAATCCCAAGGTTCTGACTTTTGCCGGGACCGGTACCGCGGGGTTGGCCGCTGGGATGCCATTCGAGTGGATTCCGCGGATTTGGCTTGGCTAGCGGCTAGCTGCTAGCTCTGCTGTAGTTTGCCATCGTGCGCGGAGTTCATAGCCTGGACTGGAGCGATGCCTGAAGCATGCTCGAGCTAAGGATGGACCGCATGGCGACGACTGTGCAGAGGACCGACCCCAAGTGGAAGGCCAGGCCTTGAGCCTTGGAAGCCGTGAGGAGATACCGGTGGATGAGCCAAGCGGCCTGGCACAGGGCAGCGGCCCAGCTGGCGCACCCCTCTACCAGGCATCAATAGTCAATAATTGTTGGGTTGGGCTCGGCTTGTGGGAGCGCATCCGTGCCAGGCTGAGCGGAGCCGACAGGTGATCCGAGGCAGTGTGGCTTGGAATCTACACAGTCAGTCGGGGAGTCTACCATTGAGTCTCGGACCGCAGGCATTGACTTGGGAGCTCGCTTCTGCCTACAGCCTGGGATGAACATCACCAGCGGGCAGGCGTTGTCGGGGCTCTCGTCAAGATCTGCTCGCGAGTGCCAAGATGTATGCCAATCCACGGCTGGCTGTGAGCACTTCAACTTCATGATTGACATCACCGGCACAAGCACGGACTTTGGCACATGCACCCTGTTGGAGAGCACAACTTCTGGGGCTGGGGGCTTCATACAAACAGACGACAATCCCGCTTTCGTATCCGGTCCGGCTGCGTGCAAGTTTGCATCAGTGCGGGATTTGGCCGGAGTCCGGGACACAGCCGGTGCCGTGGACAACGCAAACCCGTTGCTGTCAGAGTTCTCCGAGCCTGCCGGCTTAGGCATCTGGCAAGATCGGCTCTTTATTGCAGATTCTGCGAACCACCTTATCCGCCAGTTGGACATGGCCACTGGGGCAGTGACCACGGTGGCAGGCACCGGGACCAGAGGCTTCACTACTGGAGACGACGCAGCAGGTGTGGCATTGTCTCGGACACTAGACGCGCCCCATGCGGTGGAGGTGAACCAGCTAGGCCAGGTGTACTTCACAGACTCGGTCAACAACCGGTGCCTTTGCGAAGAGAACGGTAGAAGAGTCCGCCAAGCAAAGAATACTATACTCGTAGCCGCTGTAGCTCTTGATGGTGTCGCTTGCGCCTAAGGATCCGGCTGTTGGATGTCCAGACGAACACGCTGTCCACCGTTGCAGGATCAGGCCAGTCGCGAAGAACAGAAATACACCTAGTTCGGGCAGTCTAGACACTCGCATGGCGGTAGATGGCCAACAACATCATCAGTTGTTCGGCAGTTGAAGAGTTTCGCATCCAATGGACGCTTGAGGTATCTGCATTCTTGCATACGGGTGCAGGAGCCACGGGCTTCAACTCGGGCGTTTTCCAAGGGGACGGAGGGCTGGCTACCCTCGCGCGCCTGGCCAACCCCAGAGGCAGGATGCTTTCGATCCAGCTCTTTAAGTCTTTCGGTTTTGGCAGCAAATGCTCCACTTTTCGTGTCGTGAGGCCTCTTGCTTTTTGGCACGCTTCTGTACGACTCGGAGATTGAAGATGGTGATCATCGAGTAAGGCAAGCTTTGTTGGTCACACTTTGGGTGCTTGAGGGTTTTGCGGTGTGGCGGGGCAAAGTTCAGAGGCGTAGCTCGGACCAAACTTGTGTACAGGTTCATTTGGAGAGCCCCAGTCGTAAGCGCCTTGATTTGCATGTTCTTCCCGGGCCCAGCGCATCGCTGTTCTCCATTGTCGAGAGCGTAAGCCGCCTGGAAGGGTGGTGGACCTCGCAACCGGGCTTATCTCCAGCGTGGCTGGCGATGGTGCGGTGGCTTTTTCTGGAGACGGTGGTGATGCGCTCTCTGCTTCGCTGAACTACCCTTCCGCGTAGCTTGTCAGCTTTCAGAGTATCCTTTGAAGGACTACGAGCCGTTACTTGGGACTAGTGGGGCTTCGTCCATTCCAGGATCGGGCGTCATCTGGATTATTTTTACATCGCGGACACCCTGAACCAGCGAGTGAGGTCCGCGGCACACAGCAAATGGATGTTTGCGTCTAAGTTTGGCAGCCTGGAGTAGTTCCGAAGTCTTTGACATCAATGAAGTGCAAGAAGGTGGGGTACCGAAGGAATGATAGTAGGGCTTACTGGAGGCGCGTGGACCTCATCTCCAACGAGATTACGACGCTGATTGGCAGTGGGCGTCTCGGAGGCGATTACGTAGAACGGCTCCAATCTCTACCGTTGTATGGCCTACAGTCTTACACTGTCTTCCAGTCTTACAGTCGGGTCGACGGCTGCAACTTGCCAACCTAGCGGTGCATTGACTTGGTCCCACAAGCACTGATTGGCGGCTGATAAGGAAGGTCACGCATTCTAGCCTCAAGCCGCCAGACACAGACAATTCCAAGATTCCCCGATCAAAGGACAGCCGCCAGCACCGGGGACTTTGGTCACAGTACGCTGGCGCAAGTGAACAGGCTGGAAGGATGCAGGCTTACAGGCTTGAAGGGATTGGAGCAGCAGGACGGTGCAATGCACCCTTGCAGCCGTTATGCAAGGAGCTACACCCTGAAGTTCTCAACCACGGTTCGCTTTAGTTACACTTGCCTGATGCCCTGGGCCAGCTTTCACGGAGGCCTGCCTATCTAGAGCTGCGGGGCTCACGACTCTGGATCTCGGAGCAGGGCGGCAGGCGACTCCGACAGGCCACGTCTCAGCTGGGAGTGGCCTGGGCTTGGGGGGTGGGTTTGCGAGTCCGAGGTGCGGGAGGAAGGCAATGTTGAAGGCAGTTCAGGGCAGGGTTCAGAGCCTTTCCGGCAGATTGGAGCGTGCAGCAGAGCAGGGCTTCGATGAAAGCTGGGTATGTCCAAGCTTGAAGTTGTGGAGTTGAGGCACTGCTTGAGGTGGAGAAGCTGGCTGGCTGGTGTAGGGCTGCGGGGGGGAATGGCATAATCTACTGTATGGCCCTACAAGGCCAGTATTTCCTTCCCCTCCCCACCCCGTATCTAACATGCCTTGATGGGTGAGTAGCTTTCAGGTTTAGTGAGTTCTTTCAGGTCCCGTGACCTGTGTTTCCAGGTACTTCTGGAAGACGAACCCAGCGGTTTGCTGCGCCGGCCTCTCGTCTGAACTGTGGCCCATGGTCTGTGGTCTCACTTCACTTAGTTCGGCAAAATTTGCACGCCTGCACGATTCCTGGTTGTTGCCAGGACCATTGCCCGCAGCGGAACCTCTATCGGCGTCGGCTCCACATTCGGGTTTCGTGCTCTTACCACGGATGGCCTCTTTGGATACGCAGGTGCTTCGATTCCATGCGAGATGTTTTCGAGAGCCGCGCTAGTTCTGCAGAGAGAGAGAGAGAGTGCGTGCACACAAGCCTGCGATCGATTCCACGCTCATCACTCATCCTGCACCTCATGCGTCCCCAACTCTGTCTGTCGTTGTCTCTGTCCCTGTGTCTCTGTCTCTCTCTCTCTCTCTCTCTCTCTCTCTCTCTCTCTCTCTTTCTCAAGGTTGGATAGCCGCGAAATTGGCTTCTGTGCCGTGATGTCAGGAGGATCCCCATGATTGAGACAATAAGCAACCACCATCAACACAAAAGCCCTGTATCTTGTATCTACGACGTCGTCCACGAATACAAGAGGGAGTAGCGGAAGACAGGCTCTGCCACCTCTCCAGCTATCTCTGCCGGGAAGCTGGTCAAGTTCCTGCAGCCCAGTTGCATCTTCAGTCAGTCGATCTTGGTATCCACCAAGTCGAAGCACTCCCAACTCCCAGCCTCAATTTCCAAGGCTCAGCGACGTGAGCGTCCACAGCGTAGTGACCCTTGCTGCTGGCGAGCTGACACCGCGAGTGGCAGTGACAAACGGCGAGTTTGTGCTCTTCGGCCTCCGCACATCCCCAGGCCCGTCGGGTACACGTATTTGTGTACTAGTCAATGTAGACCTGTCTCAACCGGCGGCTTCATGCGTGGCAGGCCAAATTCTGCAGTTCCGGATTCCGCTCTTCGAGCAGGCGGGCAGGGCTGGAGTGATTGCTTTGAGCCTCCCTATCCAGTCCTTTCGTTGAACTCTGGCGACTCGAGCCTTGTGGAGCTATAGTCTCGAAGTATACTTGGGGTTGTTCGGGCCAGTCGTGGTCCCTGGCACTGGTCATTTCAAGAAAGCGAGTTCGGCGTCTTTGCTCTCCTCTCCTTCTCATCGGGTCTTTAACTTGGTTGAATGTGCTTTCGGTGCTTTGGGGCGCATTGGACTTGCATGAACAACCTTCGGGTAAGATTGATGTTCCCTGCAGCGCGACTCTAGTCAGCTAGGCAGGTGGGGGAAATTCCCAAATCTGAGACATTTTGTGATTGAGGGAACGGTTTCGCATCTGATTCTTGGATTCGGAGCTTCGCTTTGGTGATTGCAATGTTGCAGATTTGGAGCGTTGAGTTGAAACGTGTGAGACGCAGGCTGCAATCAATCAACCTGCGCCCACTTCGCTTCTGGATCCTTGCGTTCTGTCGTCCGAACCTTATAGTGCCGAAACCCCCGGCCCAGCTTCAGGTGGGTGCCATCACCTTGGATGTCGGCGACGATTTTGTAGAGTGTGGAACGAGCGACGCGGACTTCGCCTACTTCGGACTCGAGACTGGCCCGAGGGCTGAAGAGCGTGTTGAAGGTTGTTTCTTTCTGAATCGATCCGTAAATACCTAGGCCCTATGCATTGGTACCTATCTATGTCGTTTACTTTGTCTCAGTCGACTCTTCGCCATCTTCTCCTGACAACACTGCCTCTGTCTTTCTGTGTCGCTCTGTCGCGTGCAGAAGCTTATTCCCGACGTCCAATCTTCGCAGCTGAGATCCCGCAGTGGTCTTGAAGTTCGAGTACGGAGATACACGGAAGCTCAGCGCTGCCTACAACCCGGCAGATTTCGAGCTCGTCTCGCGGGTGCAGCGCAGTGCCGTGAGCGCGCGCTCGCTGGCTGCCTTGGCTGCGGACGAGGGCCATCTCTATGCAGCAGGGCAGGCGCATCGAGAAGCAATCACTGAGTTCGTCGATTGCCCTCCACTAAGCCATCTCTTGCATCTCCTGCCCTGGGACTGGAGGAACTCGATGCCTCGGTTGGCCTGGTCTTAAAGCATCGCGGTTGCAGAAAGAGGGCGGCGGAGTTTTCCTTCGGCCTTTGCATCCGAGGCTTCAGAAGGAGGATCTCGGCCTCGTCGCCTCCTTTGCCGCCGTCCTGCCGTACTCCACGACGCTTTCGTTGCACGGGAATGCAGGGCGTGAGTCAAGGAACATGGGAAAAGGTTCTGTGTGCCTATGCTACCTTGCGGACAGGTTGAGATTCACGATTTGCCGGCTGAGGATACCAACCATTGCGGCAGTGACGGTCGCTGGCGGCTACCTGTTTCTGGCAGGATGGCCGGCTATCAAGCTTGATCGAATGAGCAATCGCCATTGGGTTTTGTCGTCGTCGTGGTAGGAGGGAGGAGCAGCAGTAGCAGTAGCAGGGGAACGTCAACAACAACGAATAACAGTAGCAATCCGCAGTGCAAGAGCAACAGCCGCAAAAAGCCATGAAGAGTGGGCTGACAGGATCTTCTGCCTATGTGGTGAAGGTCAGCACCGAGAAGATGGCCCTCGACAGTGCCGAGCTGCTTTTCGAGGGCTTGGAGGGCGACGTCAAGGACCCTGCCTTGGACTTTCAGGGCCTTACGAGTCGAGGATTCATGGTTTCAGCAACCACGGCTGAGTTGAGGACAATTCCAGCTCCCCTGCAAGTCTCCGTAGTTTTGGACAGCAACTATCGGACAACGTTGAAACGAAAGTACAACGAACCAGTTTCTACAGATTCTCGCGCCGTGCCCTTGTCGTCTGGAGTTATCAGCCACCAGGCTATCTTATCCGATGGGGCCAGTGTTTATGAGCCCTGGCAGCACCCATTGCCCTGCCCACTTGTCCCTTCAAGCTCCGAGTGATTCCGAGACCTTCGAGCCGAGGTCTCCTCAAGCGTTCCGGGCTTCCAGCGGGTGGTGCGGCTCCGCTTCCGAGATGGGCAGCGACGCGGAGCTCTGCTCTTTGCAGCTGGGCTCCACATGTCGGGTGTACATGGGTTCTAGTGGGCATTGTTCCACAGGGCGAGCGAGTTCGGTCATGTTGCTGGCTCGGTGTTTGCTTCAACCTTTTGCCTCACTTGGTTTGTCAGGACGGCTTAAGCATCAACAGTGCCACCGACGACGGCCATGCCGATGCTTTGATTCTCCAAGGAGGCAAAGTCTACAGCAACTCGGCTTGTTTGGTCTCCGTGTCCTCAGTCCGAAAACGACATATCTACAAAGATACCAAAGACTCTCTCATCAGTGCGGACATCACTAATTGGGCCGAAAGGTCACTTGCCGCAAGCAACTCAGATGGAACAGAGAGAGGAAGTAACATCGATCGCTGTGGGTTCAGGTGGCCATTCCATGGAAAAGATCTCTCAGATAGAGGCGATTCGGGACAGCTGGATCGCAGGGGGAGTGTAGGCATTGCAAGATGGTTGACGGGAAGGCTCTGCATCAGGTAAGGTAGATCTAGCCACATGCAGACTTACAGACTTGGTTTTGGCCTTGGGGGCTGCGGCGCTATCAACTAACAACGCTGACGCCGTGTTGCGGCTGAAGCCAAAAACCTTAGCTTCCACCGTCAGGCGCCTCTCTTCCGGGATGGCGGAGTGTACTTCATCCAGGTGCCTGTGACACTTCCGTAGTCAAAGCGGAAGTTCCGTGCCCCGAATGCAGTGTCCCCCGAAGTGACTTCTGCAGGTCGCTTGCCAGGACGAGGCCTGTGCTTCCACTGCCGGAGGCTTCAACACCGGGGTGGGTGACGTGCTGCCGCGTCCTGGCTTTAACAGCCGCGACTGTTGCAGTCGTTGCCTCATCCCAGTCATCAGCCACGAGTGCGTATGCTGACTTGATGCATGCTGCGATTTCCCAGGATCTGTGCAACAATCCCGGCCGCTTCTTGGCGGAAAGTTCGTGTCCACTAGCGGCGGCAGAAACCGTCAAGGTCTGACATGCAGATGCTTAGCAACCCTAAGTGAGTGACCACTCACCGAGGATGGCATACACCACGATGTGACCTTGGGCAGCTGCGTCGGAAGCGGCCCCCGGGCAGCAAGTTGCACTAGATGCCCGAAGCCTGAATGCTCTCGGGTTGCAGGCGAGTGGCTTTGTTGGTGCTTCTGTGGCGAATTCGGGTGCTAGTTTAATAACGACCGGCGAATGCCAAGGGCAGCGATGGGTCCTCAGCGACCAGACGATCCGGAACCTGGACACGGAGCTGTGCTGGCAGGCCTACGATTTCTCAGGCCGGACTGCCTTCCGCATGCGGTAGCGAGGGGCAGCTGAGTTTGGTCGTGAGCCTGAAGGTGACGGCATGATTGGCAGTGGCGACCGAGTCAGGGTTTCACTTTGCGACGGTTTTGACGAGCGCCAGCAGTTCAGGACCGCCGCCGTGACCACAAGTTAGATCCCCGAATCTCAAAGCTGGAGCGCCAGCGCCCAATACGGACATAGCACGTCAAGCTTCGCAGGATCACTGGCCAGCAGCCACCAGAGGACCCGCCTCCAGTCAGCATCTATTCCCACATGTACGGTCTGTCTGGATCTTGAGGCTGGGTGTTCAAGCGGACACATCGCACTAACAAAGGTTCATGCTCCGGCTACAGGGTGCGTGTGTGGATGCGTCTGACTGGGATGTGACTCTGGCACGGCTCTGAGACATGTTGTGAAAAGATGCTCGGTACTGTGCTGTGGAGCCTTGCCATTGCCCTGCGAGGTGCTCGCAGACTGCGATCCAAGCAAAGCTTCCCAGACCTGGGCCGTGACCGAAGGCAGGTTCAACATTGAGCTGGCTTTTTGTTAAAGCCTCAGAACTGCACTCCTGGAGTGTCAAAGGACTAGTTTCACATCGAGTTGCAGCAGTTCACTAGATATTGGCTAGATGGGGTGCACCGCGACTCCCAAAGCGTGGCCAGGTTTGGGTGTGAGATCGGACGGGGAGCCGCGGCTCTTCCGCAGTCCTCCAGACTTCGCAAGCCATGCTTTCTGCACAGAAGTCCGGACACACAAAACTCCTGGCTCGTAGGGACGTGCAGGTTACCAGGTTCCATAAGGAAACCGATGGTGTGGATCCCGGGTCCCAAAACCTCCGAAGCAACGGCCAAGGAATGCTCCGAGAGCTGTGCAGACTCTGGCAGGCACAGGCATTGCCTGTACAAGTTCCGGATGTGGTGACGGGGGCTCTGCAACTGCCGCACAGCTGGACAGCCCACAAGGCCAGGGAAGAGGTAGCCCTTAGGGGGTCCAAAGGTGTGAGCCTCGGCCAGGTGTGGCCGTGGACATGGAGGGCAACGTTTTCATTGCTGACACCGGGGAGCGCAGAGTGCGGATTGTTACGCCGCCGGGCACGATCAGTGCCTTCGCTGGCACAGGTGCCGTGCCCACGACATCGAGGGCATGGTCCAGCCTGCCGCTCCCAGCTGAAACAGTACCGTTGGAGCCGGTGGCTCTGGCCGTTGATCAAAGCGGTCGGGTCTTCATCGCAGAAGCACGATTTACAGGTGCTGGCGTTGCCATCACATCCGTGGTCTGGGTTGTGCCAACTCAGAATTCCACAGACGTGTACCCCTACTCTGCAGCCGGGATGCTGTCCCTCGTCGCAGGGCAGGACTCGGTCCCTGGATACGCCGGGGATGGTGGTGCTGCGAGCAGCGCCTTGCTCAATGGGCCGGTAGCACTGGCAGTAGACTGCCTCGGTGACCTCTTCGTTGCCGACATGTTGAACAGCCGAGTACGCAAAGTAGCCATGAACTCCAGAGTGGTCGTGCTCAGCAACACTACCCCAATCGTATACACCACCACACCGCAAATAAGCACTTATGCGGGAAATGGTGTTTACGGTTTTGGCGGCGATGGTGGTCCAGCAGCGAGTGCACAGTTTCGGCATGTGGTTGGGCTTGCGTTTGATCCTCGCACAGATGACTTGTACATTGTCGATCAGGGAAACTCAAGGATTCGGCGGGTGACCAATGCGACAGGAATCATCGATACCTTTGCTGGTTTGGGGCTGTCCGGTGACACAGGTGATGGTGGACTCGCAACACTGGCGAGACTGAATCTTGATCGCGCGCATGTTGCTGTCGATACAACGGGCTATGTGTTCGTTTCCGACAGGGGCAACAACCGAATCCGGCGAATAGACCCCTCGACAGGAATCATCGATGGCTACGTGGGCAATGGGGCGATCTCACCCTTGCGGGTCGGAGGCTATGCAGCACTGGCAACCACGACGCCTTTCCGTGATGGCGTGACTCTGCGATCACCAGGGCAGATCGTGTTTCCGCCCCTCGCTGTGGCTCCCATAGACGTGGCTGAAACTGAATCCAAACTGCAGTGGAGGGACCTCTACATAGCGGACGAGGGCAGCCATCAGGTTCGACAGGTGATCTCCCTGCGAAACCTTGCAGGAGTTTGTGTCTACGGAGCACCTTGCCAGTTGAAGAACCTGACAGGCCTCGGAGCCTCAAACTATGCCCTGTCAGCTGGAGACCGACTCGCTGTGATGCGCATGAAGGGCGCACCTTGCGGGCGAGGTATTTCGTCCGGAGGATGGCCGATGGCAGCACGAGGGATGCCGCAAAACGGCGTGTCACAGGCTGCTACGGATACAGCTGACTTCAGCTTCGGGCCCGAACCGGTGTTGGCTTTGCCGGGCCACTACCAGCTTTGCTGGTGTCCTTCATCGCGGGGATGTTCCGACGAAGTCAACTTTGCGATTCCCGCTGGGATACTCATAGTGAAGGGCCCCTTCCTTGGGAACTCGCGAACGTGCCATGTTGGCCAGGCCTGTGGCGAGTCTGGAGAGGTCGCATCTTTTCGCGGAGTTGGGCTTTCCAACGGTGACCGCTTGATGGCAATGGTGTCCTGCTCGGAGCTTGCAGGAGCAACTGGTGCCGTGGGGTTCCCAGAGGTGCCCGGACGGGCTAGAGGAGTTTCCTTAGAGGCCGAGCAGCACGGATCAATGTTCAGCTGGGGCACACAGGGGGCCTTCAATGGTGCCATACTGGCAGGTGGAGAGTACCGCCTCTGTTGGTGTCCCAAGGGGTATGAGTGCAACACTCCGAGCGCTTTTGGCCTGGACATTGGCCAACTAAGCGTTGTTGGGCCTTATGTCTCATGTGACATCAGCACACCCGGTCAGTGTGCAGACCAGAACCGCGATGTAGTCGGAGGAACCGTCTACAACATCACTGATCTTGCCGGATTGGGCCGCCCAGCTGCTAAATGCAGTATGCCAGTATGCAGTGTTTCTCCAGCTTGAGCTGAAATCGGTCACATCGTACCCTAAGGACTTCAAGACGGTGACGCATTGATGATTCTTGAGACGTGTTCCTTGCCAGAAGAGGGAACCATAAACCTGTGTGCTTCAAGGCTCGTGCGATTTTTTGCGTAGAAGTTGAGGCGGCGTTCCTGGTGCGACGGTGGATGGATTCCCCAACGGAGGTGTCTCCAACCCCGCCACCGAGGAGGTTCGCTTTAGCATGAGGTTTGCAGCGGATCGGTGCGGACAGTGCAAGCAGACGTCCCAGTTTAACGATGCAGGGCTCTGCCTTCATCTGGGGGACTGGCGAGGAATTCGTCACTGCGAGCCTCTGGCTGAATGCAGAGGCGGTAGGCGAAACTGCAAAAGACGACACCAAGCATACTCATGTGTGCAGAGTTCGCAAAACGGACGTGTGTGAGGAAAGGGGGCGAATACCGGCTTTGCTGGTGCCAGGCCGGGCGGTCCTGCCAGACGGCAGCATTCACTTGATTCTTCTTTTTTTCAGCATCGGTTACCCGGTCCAAAGTGAGTGCACCCGTGGCTTAGCTAAGGCGCTGTTGCGGAGAACTTCAACGCAGACATTGGGAGCGTGGTGGTGCGAGCCCCTGTGGGCTTCCAGGCTTTCGCCTGTGCAACCTATGAGCGCTGCAGCTTGAGCGAGCTCCAGGGCGTGAATCTTCAGGATGGAGATCTGGTCCAGATCATGAGCACTTGCGCCCAAGCTTCAGGTTTCACCGCGTGCACCGATCCGGACTATTGCGTGGTACCCGGATCGCAACGCTCGAGCAAGGCTACGCAGTCGGACTACTTGGGCGAGAGGCTCCAGTATAACAACTTGACCATCAGTTTCGGGCCTGAGGAGGTGCGTGCTCCGAATGGCGCATATCGGCTGTGCTGGTGTGGGGGAGGCTCTGGTTCTGACTGCAGCTCCCCTTTCGGCTTTGCGATCGATGCAGGGGCCATCACAATTGCTGGCCCCCAGTCTGGGCAAGATCGGACCTGCATCAGCTCCCAAAGCTGTACCATCTATAACATCACCGGAAGCTTCTTGGAAGATGGCGACAGGCTCATGCTGCTGGAGAGCTGTCGTACAGGAACGGGCCTCACCGACACTGAAACGCCTCTCATAGACTTCGCGACGCGGGGCATCCTCGGATTCCCGGACTTCGGGCGCTCCCTTCCTGCGACGGACAACGGTGCTACGTTCACCTGGGGCTCCGATCCCATCTCGACGGGTGGCAAGTACAAAATGTGCTGGTGCTCCCGCCAGGCCCATGAAACTCTCCCGTGTGACAGGGCCGAGCGTTTCAAAATCGAAGTTGGGATGCTGACGGTTGTGGGCTTCGCAGAGAACAAGCGCAGCTGTTTCGTCGGCCAGCCGTGTGAGGTGGAACATTTAGCCCCCTGGCTTCGAGCCGTTCCGGTGTGGTGGCAAACCGTGATCTTTGTTCCTACCAAGGTCGGGTTCCCATTGCATGATGGTGATCAGGTGTTGCTGCAGCCAGCAACAGGCACTTGTGGCAGCAGCGGCGAGTTTGCAGGCGCAAAGCAGTGAGCGAAGCAGTTTCGCAGAGATGTTGCGCAGGAGCAGCAAAACAGCACGGCCTTCTCAGGTGCTTCTTTGTCTGGTTTTGCATTCAACACCACAGAGCACGTTCATGACGAAGGCGGGATGCATCTTGCAAACCCCGGAGTGCGATGGCGGTTCTGAAGGCGGTGGTGGGATCGTCCAGGATCTGTCGTGGTCGCCCTTGCAGCTCCTGCCTGGGAGCCACGTGGCCGGCTAGTCAGGGGCAACCATTTGTCATCCATGAATCTTCCGATCCCTGATCGAGGCTATCAGCTTTGTTGGTGCTCAGCCTTGGCAAGCTGCGCAAACAGCTTGGACTTTCAAGAGAGGGCAGGCCGGGGGAATTGGCTCTGAAGGCCGAGATTTCGCCCTTGCCGGTGGCCTGAGGCTCCTTGGAAGTCCTTGTGCAGACCATTGGGCACCTGCAGCTGGAGCTGACGGAGTTTCCAGACCCAGAGGCCGCCTTGCCAAGTGGAGGGGGAAGTTTTCCTGACTTTTTTCAATGTCCCAGACTCTGCGAGGCAGTCATCGCGGAGGTCAGCTTCCAGGATGGGCAGAGAAGTATATAGTGTTTTTTGTTTGCACAGCTGTCTGCGCAGGACTGTGCTGGAGATCCTTTGAATGTGTCGGTTCCCGGTCGCTGGAACGGCTCCACTGTGGGCTTCGAGGTCGGGCACGAAACAGGGACATCCGAAATGGCTGCTAATTTTCTGCACTCTCGAGGCAGCCGTGGACGGCTCGCTCAACACGGCCTGGGTGGTCAGCGCTGATGGCTGCAGTTCGTTTTTCTTGAACAACGCCTGGCGAAATTGGCCAACGAAGCTTCAGTTTGTGCGAAAAAGCATGCCAAAACTGTACCGTCGCAGAAATGCACCAAAACCATAGAATATCTGCGGAATCTCGTGACCCAGGCGCCACGGGAACGCAAGTGCTTGCGTATTCTGTGCCAGATCAGTTGCTTATCAGCAAGCTAGATGGCGTAACTTGAGAGTTCAAGAGGGTATTCTACTTGTACAGGCGGGGTCGTTTCCTGAAAGGCTGGTGAAGGCATACTGCTGAGCAGTGCAACAGAAGACCGCTTCGGGTGTAGGCCGTTGGCAGGCCAGCAGATGTCTTTTTGCTTTTGCGACTGGTGGCAGGTGGACCGAGGTGAACGGTGTGAAGTATTTACGAAGTGACCAATACGAGCTTTGCCGCTACAGCATTGCCACCTGGTACACCCTCTCCTCGGCAAATGCCCTCGCAGTGGGCAGCTCTTCCAGGGGGCGTCTGGGAGGATGGACGTTGAGAGTGCGGGAGGCCGAAGCTTCGTGGGAGAATGAAATCGGGGCGTCAGCCTTGATACCGATTCCGTGGGAGATAGTCGACAGCCAAACCGGCCACACCTTGGGCTGGGAGGACTTGCAGGTGCGGTCCTGGATCAGCAAGTATGTGGGTCCCCTTCGAGGCCATTATGCGGAGTGCAGAGCAAGCTTGGCATGCGATGTGCCCGGCATCCTTGGTGTCGGTCTGGCGGCGGGTGACCGGCTGATGGCTTTGTCTGAAGTTCGCGGCTCCGGGCTTTCCTTGTACGAGCGGGCTTCGTCGATCTGGAATCTGACAGCTTCAAGCTGTGGGTCTGGCACGCCACCGGCTGGCTTGGGGTCTGGTGCCACCTTGCCTACCTCCGAAACAGCAGCGGTCAACTTGACGGTTCCAGCGGGCCGCATCGCCAACTTTACGTGGGGCGACGGTGCAGGCCAGTACATCACAGCCTCCGGGGGCCTCTTCCGACTGTGCTGGTGCGGAGCGGATGCAGCTGGACTAGGATGCCAAGCATCGGAGCATTTCGGCCTAGAAGCAGGGCACCTGAGAATCCGTGGCCCCGGTCTTGTGCCTCATGAGACTTACTCTTGGATCTGTGTTGTGGAAGCTGCCATCAGTGCTTTCCATCCTGGCTTCGGCAGCAGTGTGGAGATTCTACCGAGCGGCGGTACTGACTTCGGCAAGTACAGTGAAGCAGGCAGGTGGGCGGCACAGCCGAAGATAACCCTCCAGGGTCAATCGCAAGCTTCGAGCCTGCTTTCCATAGCCTGCAAGGCCCATCGCAGGACTTCTCAATTTGCCCGAAAGCCAAAGCCACCAAGACGTGACGAGCAATGCGATTGAATCGAACCCCCACATGTTGTGCTGAGCGGGCAGGTTGGCTGGGCTTCGGCTATGGCCGTCCACCCCCAACGCAGTGCGCTTAGGAAGACTCCGGTGTTTGCTGCTCCACATCTGCAATAGTAAGAGGGCGCTAAAACTTCTGTCAAAGGCCAAACTTCACCTCCGAGTGCAACATTTCGGACGTCTTTGGCGAAGACCTGACAGACGGTGACAGGCATGTCGTGCCAGATATTTCGGCTCGGTACGGGTTGTGTAAGACAAGTCGGAAAGTCTCGCTCTGTCTGCCTGTCCGGAACGAATCCATGCGACGCTGGCTGAAATCATGCAGCTTGCTTTTTGTTTTTTGCATTTTGTACCTTCCTGTCGTCATATAAAATCTAGCGGCCACGCGTTCTGCAGTTTGTCCGTGTGAAATCCGTTACCACCGCGCCAGCTCGCAGACATTGCTCGTACTCGTAGGTTGCTTGTCCTGGACCGCTTCTCCTGTGCCGATGGTCTGCCTGTACCGGGATGGTTCCTCGGCAACAAGAGAACGTTTGTAACTGCTAGGGTGGGGGTGTGCAGGGCGCTAGGATGTTTCAGTGTGTGGTCGGCTTTTGCCGAGGCCCGGGAACAGCCTGTCCATGCCAAGCACGAGCAACGGCAGCCATTTCTTCTTCGGCGCAGACCTGCCGAGCACGGTGGACGCAGTTTGGTGGCACTCGGAGGTGTAGGTGTGGTTTTCCCTCTCGCACTCTCACACCAAACTCCAAGCTGATGCGCAGTCACAGCCCCGCCATGGCGCGGCAGGTTAGAAAGCTGCGGACTGCAGGGCATCTTCTGTGTGCCCAGGTCTTCAACCTGGAGTTGCAGACCTGGGGCGACACTTGGGAGGTTCCGAGACCATATGCCGCCCCTCGGCAGCACCTGGGTGACATGTATTCGCAATTGCCTGCTAGCTGCCGATGCCTAGGTTGGAGGCCACGTTTACGGGCTGCGCCTGGGCGAAAGCTTCGAGGGCACCACTCAAGCTGAACTGGATCTGGATTGATTGTGTTGCTGTGCAGTTTGGCGCAGGTGCTGGTGTCCACAACAGAATCCGAAATGTGTGGCGGCGACTGCGGCCACCATCGCTGGCACCACACAGGCAGCCGCCGCTGACAACTGGCTCAGTGGCACGCATGGGTTCAGGGAACTTGGCAGCTTGGCAGGTCACTGGGCAAGGTTCCGGAACGGTGCTCAGCACCCCTGCAGCGACGCTGGAGGGAGGCGGGAGATGGAAGCCATTTGTTGTCTGTCGGCTCTTCGTGCGCAAGATTCCCGAGGTGAGCTGACATGCGCGAGAAACAACCCAAACTGCCACCAATCAAGGACTGCTTCGGTAATGTTGTAGCATGTGCTTGGAAAGCTGCGTGGGGGCTTGGAGGAACGACTTCAACTTACCTCTGGGACGCCTCGTCGTGGCGTGCTTACAAGACTCAGTCGACAAGTGGGTTGCGTCCGTGACAGCACCGACACTAGAGGGCACAAGATTGATGATGGAAAGGCTGCAGGAGTCAAGGGATATCCTGTCTGCTTTGTCTGAAGTCGATTCTTTGAGCATAGGAGGACCATGGAGGACCCAAACTCTAAAGTAGTTTCGCCCCGGCTTGTATTGTTCTTGTCCAAGGTTTTGAACCACACATCCGAGGCAGGCTGCACGGCCGAGCTCAGAAGTCTGTGTTTCAGGGACCGCTGCCATCGCCAGAACCTACGCCAAAGAAGAAATTTTGTTTAGGCACCTCCAAGTCGCTGCTTAGGGAGTCTGATGAAGCCGCCGCTTGGAGGTGCGCCTTTGCTGGCAGCGTTGCCACGACAAGTATCCGGAAGCCTGCAGACAGAAGCGATCCCGCCTGGTGATCCCTGGCGCAGCTCGGCGAAGGAAGGGCGCAAGCGGACGGATTCAACTTGAAAGGCGCAAGCCAGCAAAATGAGCAAGCTAGACAGTGCTGTGCCGCTTCTGAAGCGTTTCCAGGCTGCAGGATCCGATCTGTAGGGTCTTTTTCTGAGACAAGGTCGTCGACTTTTCATCGCAGTATGACAACAGCACTTTCGCTGCCGCAAACCTGGGCTTGCGGAGCGGGGGACAATGGCGCTCGTCCTTCAACGCGATCCAGGAGCATTGGCTCCCAAGTTGGGAGCGTGGTGTTGTCTCCGCCGCTCAGCCAGGACCAGTGGCTGGTTCTGGACTTGGGCGAGGCCTCGCGACCGAGTCGCCTTATGCTGCCGCTCTGGGGTACAGCGGAGAACCCAAGGGAGGCCGGCGGTTTGAAGGGATGAGCGGGTACAAACTGCAGACGTTCTGAGACTGTCAGACTCTGGGTTTGGAGCCCGAGGCACGGCTTCAATCTGCCCATGACGCTCTGGGCCCTTGGGAGGACCTTGTCGAGTTTGGTCGCTAGGATGCAAAGTTGGAAAAGGGGTTCGGGAGCATTTGGCTTTTGTTGCTTTGAGGCGTTCCATCCTTGGAGTCGACGCTAGTGACTGTGGAGGCAGGGCTGCTCACTGCTGCCTGCTGCCAGGGGTGAGCAGCGACACTAGCTTAAGCGCCGCATTGCCTCAGCCGAGCCCGAAGCCACCCCTTCAGCAATCATTCGCAGATCCCTGATGGTCCTGTGGCACGCTTTCTACGACTTGGTCTTGCAGGGACGCTGTGCCACAGGTGAGCAAGGCTTTGGTGGCTTTTGGAGTTCTTTGTCACATTCCCCGCTCTGCTCCGACGTGACCATGTAAGGCCGCGACTTGGGCACTCGCATAATCGGTTTTCCTTTTCTCTCTGGAACCCAGGAACTTTGGCGCACCCTGGGGGCTCGCCTTGCGAGGTCCTTTGCGGCTGGCTGTGGTTACCCGGCTGTGGGGAACGGGTCGGGTCATATCAGGAGCGGGCATAGCCGCATAGTCAGTGATGTCTTGATCTTGTGTTTGTTCAAGGACCCGGATGCCGAAAGCAACTCCACAGGCCAGGTGGCAGCGCTGGACAGAGGGCGCTGCAGACAGGGATGGCGGAAACTCCGTAGTTGATGTTGAGGAATGAGCAGCGAGAGTCTGTGTACCCTCTGCAGGCGAGGATGGCGAGCTTGATGAGCTGTGTGCACGCAGCTACTGCCCTCTGCTTGCAACTGGCTGGGACCAGGAGTTGAGGTTGTGTGAGTTTCTTCCGGCTGCAGTCTCATTCGCTGTGTTGTAAGCAGGTTATGCGGGCTGCGGTCTGCTTGCTCGACGGACGATTGCCGAGAACGGAATGGCTGTAGAGGTGCCCGCGGATGGTGGTAAAGTAGAGTTCATAGAGTTCATAGTCGTGGGCAGCTGACCCTTTCCAAAGAGCCACACAGTCTAGAAGCCCGGGTCCGAGGGCTTAAGACCCTCACCTCGGATGTACGTGGGCTTGTCGCAGCAGGAGAACTTGAGCTTTTGTTCGACGGGAAAAGAGTAGCCCAAGTTGGCAGAGGGGACATGAGGCTGGTTGAAAGCCTCTCTGGCCCATCCTGGCCCAGGAGCTGCCACCCGCCACCGGTGATGCGGCCTTGCTGAACTTCGAATGGCCACTGTGGGTGCTGCGGCCTCGTTTGAGGGCCGGTGGGCTTGAGAAATTGTTTCAGACGTAGGCGAGGAAGTGCCGAAGTTCTTCGAATTATTGGCAGGTTTTCTTGAAGACTGGGAACTCATAATAGGTAAGGACGCAGGCAAATGCAATCCAGGCTGGAACTTATTCTGTCCCTGGCCGTTCTTAGTTTGAGGCGAAACTCACCGTGGGTCCTCAATTCAGGAGGCTTTTCCAAGTACTGGCAGGTTCAACAATTGGTCGACGTCAACGCGTCTGGCTGCCAGGACGCCTGCCCTGCAAGAAGCGACACAAACATCACGAACACATGTTGTGTGTTTGCAGTCTTCCGCCGAGGCTTGGGCTCCAAGCTGCTCAGCCCACAGCGATATGCAATCTGCCTGTCTGGATGGCTGCGAGTTCTGGAGGGGACCTACAGCCAGAGGGGAGCTCGGCACCTCGGCTCAGCTTGGGTTTGACTGCGCCTGAAGCTTTGACGCGCGCGTCGGAGGCTTCTTCTGCAACATGGGAGTTGATCTTACCGGAGCCCTGGTCGGTGTCGATGGTGCATCGCGCGTGACCCTGCAGAACAGTTCGAATGTCTCCTGTGTCCAGAGCTTAGCTGAGTTGCCTCCAGGTTTTCCGAAAGCCTTTGCTTTTGCGATCTTTTGCGTGTCAGATGTTGACAGACCTGTTCGCGCACGGGTCAGGTGTTGAACGTCAGTGGCCAGCAGATGCGAAGCAGCCACCTGATTGAACTGACTGGGTATCCTGTTGGTTTCTCGCACGATCCAGTGCATTTGCAAGCCGTTGCCCTGCTCTGCACTATAGCAGCCTATAGCATTTCTAGACAGGTTCGCGTGAAAAACATGCTAGGTTTTGGGAAACTCTGGAGTGTACCTGCGCAAGGCGACTACGTCCAAGTGGTGCCGGGACGACAGCCTTGCAGGCCTGTGCGGTGCCGATTTGCAGTCACTGTGCATCTATTACGCCGTTTCAGGACTGCCCAGGCGAGCGCCGGGGCGTCCTTCCTGCAGCCGCGTGCGGCTGCAACGACTGTAGCACCAGCGCCATGGCTGAAGGCACTCCTGTGCTTCTTCAAACTAGGGCTTCAAGTGCGCAGGATGGGAGCTGGGCCACCTTCGATCTTGGCTACCCGACAGCCTCGGGACCCTTCCAAGTCTGCTACTGCCTGGGTGGCTCGGGCTGAATGAAAGAGCCTGCAAGAGCTTGTAGCATGGCGGGGAAAGTGAGTCTAGACGACGACTGCCAGCTGGAATTGTGCTGCCAGCATCAGTCAGTCACGGCAACAGCCTCGGAAACGTAGCGCCAGGTGCTGATGACTGCAGCCAGGACAGGGCTTCGCGTGCTTAATGCAGCCACAGACAGTCGTATGGTCTGACCATTGCTCACGCCAGGATTGGGCCTTTTCCAAATGGGCTGGCACTGTGGCTGTGATTGGAAAAGTGCGACGCATGGCCCCTTGGCTATCTGAACAAGGCATTGATGCGGTTGGAAGCGTCACGGCCTAAAGTGTAAATACATAGCAGAAAACAATGCACGCAGTTGAACACAGTAGCAATCGAGGGAAAGACGCAGATTACTCTCGAATGAGTTCAGTCCCGGCCTGTGACCGCTTAGGACCCCAGTGGCTGGGATCTTGGAGGGCAGGCCGATCCACGAGCTTGGAGCTATCGCCCACTGTCTCCAGCGTCTCCAGCCCCAGCTTGATAGGTGTCTGTGTTTCTGGAGATCACGGACCTGTGCCTCGGCCTGTCTGGCCGACATCTCAAGAGAGACTTGAACTCGAAATAGGATTGCGAAAATCGTCGTGAAAGTCCTTCATCAGAAAGCAACTAAGCGAAGCCATGACACTTCAGCATGTCAGGGGTGCTCCGATCATCAATGTGACCTTCATCTCCCACGGACTGGAGTGTCTCGGACACATCAGCCGGTGCAGTTAAGATGTGCCCGTGCCTTTGACCATCTTCAAAGCTCAGTCTCCGCTCTTGTCAAACAGACGAGCTCGCCAAAGCGCGTTTCTATTGCATTCCTCGGACGCAAAGGCGGCCCTGTCTGTCTCCCAGCCCCGTCTTCGGCCAGGCCTCGCAGAGAACATGAGCGCTGTTCCAGCTCTCTGCAAACTTCATGCTCAAGCGGCTGCCAGGAGACCACCGCCGTCCAGTGCCTGATGCCAGCAGCCTTTTCACCGGGTCTGGAGACGGCAGGGCTCGGAACTGCCGAAGTCGCGTTGTCTTTTCCAGGACTCCAGGTTGCTAGTGCTGCTTAGTGGTGGGAGACAGATTCTACCAAGCAGTCACAGACCTGGAGCTTTCCATCTATCTCGTCTCCGGCCTCGGGCAATGCAGGTCACGGCGTTTACGGCGAACGGCCTCTGGGCGACATCCGCGCCTTGCCCTGGTGATGGTTCCGTCGTCCTTCGGGAATGCTTCAGATTCCAGAGGTCATTTCGTAGCATGGCCCCTTGTTTTTTTCGACCCGTGCTTGTGCAAGCAGCCGCTGATGTTCGGATTCGACGTGCACCGAAATTGAAGCAACAGCTCTGTTGCGGAAGGCTGCCTGCTGCACATATGCATTTGCAGGTGGACATCTTCAACCGCTTCGTGCGAGGTGGCTTCATCAACATTTCAGACACGTTCGGGCCGACCGTGGGGGGTGACATCGTGCCTTGGCAAGGTAAGTAGCTTGGGTCCGACCGTGAAGTTGGTAAAGGAACGAGCCTGGGTTCAAAAAAGGGATAATGTTTGCAGGTCGAGAGAGGCAGGTTCTCGCATCCTTTGAGGTGACAATCTACGTCTCGGACCTGGGCGCGCCCATCGTGCGCGTCACCTTCGGGTTCATCGACTCGCCTTCTGTTCTTGCAGACGGAAGCTTTGGCACGAAGGAAGTCGGGAACCTGCTCCCCTCCCTCATGCAATCCCTTCCCAGTGATCGAACCTTTATGCTGCATGCTTTGGTATTGCTCTGGCAGATCACGATCCTTTTTTGTGACCGTTTCATAATCTCAGGCCGTATGCCAGGGATCCGAGCCACCGTCGAAGTTCCTGCCACGGCGGTGTCGGGCCTCGTCACGGCGACCATGCACAACAGCAGCCCTTTTTTGAACTCAAGAGTGTTTCACTTCTGTAGCTGTGTGAAGACGAGTCGCTTGTCTTCCAACATACCCATCGAACCCCAAGGTGACGGTGACGGCTTCCAACGGCAATGTGGCCACAGGAAGTTCCCCAGCAGCGCAATGGCATACTTGCAGTTCAGTGAATCCAGTGCAAGCGCTGCCAGGTAACGTGTACAGCTATTACAGGGCGGGCGACATCAGCAACCTCAACCCGCCGCAGGGAGAGATGGCTGGCGGCACGCGTGTCACCATCGAGACCACGGACCTGGATGCGACGATTGTGGCGGTCGGGCTGGGAGTGGGGGAGTCTTTCGGGCAGGGCTGGATCGTAGGCAGGAAACGTAAAAGGAATCTCGAGCTTGTCGTTACCCATGCTGGATGGCAGGTTTTCTTTGGCGGCAACGAGGGACTCATCGTTGGTGGTTCTGCAACGAGCAACTTCGTGGTTGCCCTGACGCCGGAAAGCGAGGTTCGGGGCGCTGTGGACGTGGTGGTGCTGGCCGAGAATCAAAACGAGGCTAGCAAGCGGTCATGTAGCAGAGTCTAGCAATTTAGCGGTGCTTCGGATCCAATCCCGAGGCCATCAGCATCGGCGGCTTCACCTACCTGGCCGTCTGCCCAGACCCCGGTATCCCACTGAATGGAGCCCGGAGTGGCGAGGACCTGTCCGAAGGTGGCGATTCTGAAACAAGTTGTGTGAATCCAACAGTGACGTGCAACTGCCACATGCAGCAGCCTTTCGCAGAGATCCGGAGAAGCTGAGGTGCCGTCTTGATCTTTTCTTGCCAGTTCGGGTATGAACTGGTCGGTTCAGCCCAGTCCGTCTGCCAGATGGACTACGATTCTTTCGGCAACGTGATCAGTGAGACCAGCGCTTTTGCCCCTCCTGTACCGACGTGCCAGATTGTCTCGTGCCCGGACCCAGGCCATGGAGTAGCGTGAGATTGTGCTCAGAAGCATGTTGTGGCCGGTTCGCGATTTCCATTGCAACCTGTTCGCAGCGACAGGCATCCCAGACTTTGGTTTTCGCGCGGGTGGGGAGTCTGGAACCTTTGTGTTCGGCGACGTCGTCACCTTCTCCTGCAGCCCGGGATACCTCCGTGTGGGGCCCACCGAGCTCCTTTGCCGCGGAGATGGACAGTTTTCGGGTTCTGCACCCTCCTGCGAGTCGAACCTGGGCTCGCTGAACTTGGTTCGCTACCGCGCTCTCTTTCTGGCGAGCTTTGGTGAGGAGGAAGGCGTGTCACAGCTGGCCTATCAGGAGGCCGATGCGAACAGGGATGGCCTGGTGTCAGAAGCTTGGGGCAAGACATCAGGAACCACTTCTGTGCATGTTTGCTCAACATATGTTTCGCACGCACGTAAGGCACAAACTGATGGCTCCAACCCTTAGAGTAGTCTTAGTAGTCTTCAGTCCTGGGTGTGTATCCCATGCCGAGGAGGAGGAATTTCTTGTTCAAGCGGCCGCGATTGGAGTCACACGATCTGCAGACGCAGAGGTCGGCCTGTACCCTTCGATAGACAGTCCCGCGTTTAACATCGTCTCGCCGAAACCAAATGCCCAAGATGGATTTTTCCATGTGCAACTGTACATCGACTGGCCGGTGTTTGCAGGTTCTCTACCAACAGATCCAGCTCCGGCCGGGCACAACCTTAACCCAACAGTGCCTGGCATGCAAGTTAACAGTAGCATTTTGGGGGCATTCAGCACACCTACAAGGTGTTGACTCGCAGATGTCTTGCGTAGTTTTTCCCTTCACCTATCTGGAGGTACATCACCTTGGAGCAGTACAGAGTTTTGGAGCCCGGGGGCTGCCTGCGTTTCTGGTGAGTAGCCGAGTAGCCCTTTCTTGAAACATCTTGAAACGGCGGTGCAAGCGAAAGCATGCTGTACATACAGAATCAAGATGCAGCGCGGGTGGCTCATGCACATCTCTCGACTGGATGACTACAAAGCATGTGGCACGTGGGGTTAGGGGGATCCTGGACACAAGAGCTGAAGGAGCCGGAGGTGAGCATCACCGAGCTCCGCACACTCATGGCCTCCGTTTTTCTTACACCTGCAGCTTGGCAATAGACGGCTGCAGCTTTTACACTTGTCATCGCATGCCCATGGCCAATCGTCCAACCTACAACGTACACCAGGCCCAGATGCTTGCGGGTGCAAGTCTGGATGGCAACCCCTCTGTGTGCAAAGCTCAGTTCCTGGAGCAATAGCAGCGCTGTTTATGCCAGCAGCGACGCTTCATCATCTTCGCAGATCGTTTGCCCTGTGTTGTCTCGGTAGTGCAGTGGTGGCGCCGCTGGGAACACAAGGTCTCTTGAATCTGTTTAGCTGCAGGTCCAAGGAGGAATTCGTGGGGCAAGTCGTCTCTGTGGCAGAGCTGACGACCGAGCCTTGGTCCGCACACTGTTTGGACTGCTTGCGAAGATCTTGGCTCGCTTTCCCACGCTAGTTCCCTGTGCGATCTGGGCATAGTTCAGCCTTCTGCTACCAGCTTGGCGCGTCATGATCCTCAATTAATTGGTTTTGAGGAACGGTCGAGAGCATGATGACCGTCTGACAGCCCTAAACCCGAAATAACTCAGGTGAATGCTGAAGCTATTTGGGATTCAGTCGCCCGCCTTGGCCAGAGCCAGCTGGATAGTTGCTTGGGCTGGATGGAGGGTTGGGAGTCCTCTTTATCCGGACAAGCCGAGGCAACCACTACCTCCTTCTGATGGGGCAGGATGACCTGCAGACTCTTCGCGCCTTGATGCAGGCGCCTTCTCCGAGCCTTTCATATGGCGAGTGCCGCTATCATTCGTCGCAAATCAAGCTGCTACTTCCGCTGCTGGCTCCTCCTCTTCCTGCTGCTACTGTTGAATACTACAACAACAACCGTTACTACTGGTAGTGCTGCTGCTGCCGCTGCTGCTGCTGCTGCTATTGCTGCTGCTGTTGCTACCTCCACCAGCACCACTACCGACAAAAACCGTTCACTGTCGTGCACTGCGATCTCCTTCATGGGCCCCTCATTCCTGTATAGTCAGAGACTGTAGCAAACTTGTCTGAAATAGCCTACGATGTGAGTGCCCCGGCTCAGCATCATATATGGGTCGTCTTTATTGTAATTTCTGGTGGTATACGTGTTGACGTACTTTGTTGATGTTTCTTTCACGTTATAGCTGGGCATAAGGGCAGTGAGGAAGTGAACCGATCGACGAAGCCCTGGAATCTTTCTGTGGCCTTAGCTTTTGTTTTTGCTGTTGTACCCAAACCTAGGGAACCGTCGTGACTAGTTGCCATTAAAGTCCCCGCGGAGCTGTCATTGGCGTGCCATGCTGGGTGACAAAGAAACTACCACCACTACCGCCACCGCTACCACACCACTACTGCTGCCACAACCATTGTCACTAGCACTACCAGTACCGCCCGCGCCACGACGACAACTTCTCCTACTCATACCACTCCTACTTCTACCACTCGTGCTCCTACTCCTAGTCCTAATCCTACTGCTCCTGCTCCTGCTGCTACTGCTACTGCCACTACGGCAACTATTATAGAACTAGCTATGCGATTTGTTTCTTCTGCTGATAAGGCTGCCGCTTCGATGTCTGCTGCTGCTGCTGCACTGCCTCCGCCTCCGCCTCCGCCTCCGCGCCTCCTCCTCCCCCTCCTCCTCCTATCTCCTCCTCCTGGCAATAGTGACGACGACTGTGACTGCTACTGGTACGTCCTTTTTATCTATCAGCTGCGAATGCTACCGCAATGCTGGCCTATCGCCACGACGAGTCCACAGGGAGCTCGGAATTCCTGGAAGTGGCCCTTCATGGATTCATGCCTGAGCCCAGGATGAGTCCAAAGCACAACTCTGGGCTCAGGTTCGCTTCATTCTCGTAGATGATGCCTGGAATGCATCGAATCCCAATGGAGACGACCGGGTTACGGAGGAGGAGTTCGTAGGCTTTCTGCTGCAGGACCAGCTTTGCCGAGAAAATCAGCCTTTGCATGTTCGTTCCTAAAGATGGCGGGCGCAGGAAAGTCTAGGAGGGTCTCGGGCAGAGAGGTATCTTGAAAGGTGGCATGGACATGGGCCATCAGGACTATGGTCTCGATGCCGTGATGGGTGAGCTGAGCTGGAGGCCATCTGGCCTATGTTATCATGAGCAATCGCCGAGTGCTTCAGCCCTTGCCATCCCGCAGTAGCACGCTTTAGAGGCACATCGACGTCTTCTTTCAAGGCTACGTCCTGCTTGAGCGCTATGTAGCCCTGGGAAGCTTGGCATGGGTATTCCATATTCCCGAACCGGCTTTGCCTGCGGTTCGGAGCTCTCCTTGCAACCAAGGGTTCGGAAGTGTGGAGGGTGTCTCGCTGGTCGGCTTCCGCGGATTCCTGCAGTCACTCTTTGCCACGAAGGAGGCGGTTGAACGGGACTTAGTTCCTCCCTTTTGCATGCCACGGGGACCTTGGGGCTTAATGAGGCTGACTCTGGGTGGTGTTGGGTGGTGTACCGAGGTTAGCAACATGGACTCCGACGGAAGTGGAATAGTCACGAACGAGGAGTTCAAACGCTTCGTGACGCGGACCTTGGGCCTCACCGCTGAGAACGCAGACGACGTCTTGGCTTCTCTCTGCCAGGCAGAGAGGGACGGGAGAGACGGCAGCAGGAGGGAGGATGCTCTGACTGAATTGAAACTGCTGGTTGCGGGTATGAGTTACACCGTGCATGTTGTTGTTCGGCTTGGGACCAGTATCAACGCACCGTGCGCCTGTTCATGTTCAGCTTCAAGCAACAAAGGATGGGGAAGACGCACGCGCATAAGCGCAGACTTGCAGAAGTAGTCAAGGCTTCAAGGCTAATGCTAAGCAAGAACAGATTGGCCACAGGGAGGTAGGGCAAGAGGGCGGGAGCAAAAAAAGGGACGGAACGAGTGGAGCGACATAACCAATTACAAGGCGCATGTAGCGCTGCTAGATCCTCGGTTCAGGCTCCGAGCGTGCTGCGTCTGACGGAGCGCCAGCTGGATGCCATAACCTATGACCTGACACTCCCCAGCCTGCGCATCCTTCTGCGTGCGGACATCGGGGGCTTGACCAAAGGGCTCTAGCGGCAGCCTGTGTAATTAATCAGCCTGCATGCACTGGGCTGCCCGTGAGGATCACCCGACAGTGGAGGACGTGTTGGCCTTTCTGGACACGAGTCAAGACGGCCAGATCAGCCAACAGGAATGGGCAGCGGGCCTGTTGAGGAAGCGGGTGACTTCGGCGAACGCACGGGACCTCTTCGAGGTTTTGGACCCTGGGCAACTAGGCTACCTCACGGTAGACACTCTGCGACTCATTCGCGGCAACTTGGCTCTTTGCGATTACCGCGAGTTGGTGAAGCCCGAGCTGGGCGATCTCAACCAGACCCTCTGGGATGCTGACACGGACGGGAACCTTCGGGTGCCTCGTCCGTACGCAGGGTGTCGGGGATAAACAAAAACTCGCTGCAGACATGAACAGATGATGTCGTCTCTGCAGTTTGAAGCCTGCAGGTCACACCGGAGGAGTTCGTCCGACAGGCGATGCCCTTCTGCCTGACAGAGGCCGAAGCTTTGGCCGTGCACGCGGAGATGGACTTCCTGAGCCAAGGCTTCGTGGACCTATTTCCCATGTCGTCGGCCAGGACCGGACACGGGAGAGTGTCGGGCAACCAAAGCCGGAACATCTGCATGGACGCTTGGAGCCTTGAGGATGCCTTTTGTCCTCCAGCGCGGGTCACTGGCGAGCTACCGAAGCTGTAGCTCGGACTGTCTCAACCAGGGGGGCTTGAAGGAAAGAGCACTTGATGTCTGACACTGTTTTTTTGCAGTTTCGCCTGTCTGAGCTTCCAGTTTCGCCACCTCACCTGCAAAGGTCTGCAAGGTTACTTCGGCGATGCAGCTTGGTTCAGCGCAGCAGGGACGTCTGAGAATTCCCAAGAATGGCTTTGATCCGGTTTGAAGGACTCATTGCATTTGCATGCGAAACTGCTGTAGTACTGCTGTAGTTTTTGCTGGTCCTCGGCTGATCATGATGTCAGTTCGAACGGGTTTGAACCAGAATTCAAGCAGGCTGTCGGTTGAGCTGGTGCGGCGACTTAGTGTAGACGAGGTCCAGTCACAGTCGGAGTGGGAGTAGTGAGCAGGAATACTTGCAGTAGTGGTGGTGGTGGTGGTGGTGGTGGTGGTGGTGGTAAGAAATGAACTGCAAGAGTGGCTATGACAGGCGTCGGAGCAATCGCAACCCAGAGAATTCCTTACGTGAGGCGGCGGCAGCAGTCCAGGACCTGGCCGTGGCCGCTGCAGGGCGACCGGGATGAGTTCAGCTTTGGACAGACCCACCTGCCAGCCTGCCAGCCCGTAGAATTTTTTTCGAGTCCTATGGGCAGAAGAAGGCGATGCACACATCTGCACACCCACACCCACGCATGCACGCATGCGCACACGGCACACGCACTATTTGTGGAGTGTTTGAATGCAAACGCAGCGGCTCGGCCGGCGGAGGTTCCCGGCCTCGGCTCGCGCCCTGGCGCAGCAGGGCGCCAAGGCGGCGTGGCTGCTGCGAGCGACTTCGGAGCAGCCCGGCCTGTGCCAACTTAGAGTCGCTCCGCAAGCGGAGCGGAGACAGCTTGCACAGGCTTTTAGGGCCCAGGGCTCCAACCCAAAGCTTGAGCGGAGTCTTGCAGAGGCAACTTTTCGACCGCGCCGATCCGCTGGCCTCGGGGCTCATGTCGCGCGCGAGATACCAGGCAGGAGCTGGCTGCTGGCGTCTGTGGGCATTGGCTAGGAGAAGTTTGATTGTGCCGAAAGCCGGCCAGGGGCTCTTTGCGGGCACCATGACGCTGGTCGGCTTCCGCCTGTTGCTGGCGGAGGCTGAGCTTTCTTTCGGCCAAACTGTCTGTACAATACCAAGGGGGACTGCGGCTGCTGTTTGTCGGGGAAGATGTCAAGCACCCGTGTTGCGAAGTCCTGCTAGTTGCTCCCTCTGCTCGTGCCAGTTGACCTCTTTGTCAGGTGGCGCCTGATGGAAGCGCCGAGCTCATCTCGCGAGCTGATGTGGACAGGGCCTGGCAGAGAGAGAGAGAGAGAGCGAGAGAGACAGGGACTCTTGCACCGATAATTCCCCCAGAGCACGAACTCGCGCGGGGGGTGCTCTGACGCGTGCTCCTCCATCTGTGCTGAGGAAGGGACTCTTCCCCAACGAAGCGAAGACAGGGACTGACCTGTGACCCCTGCCCCTGTCAAACCAAAGCAAACGAGAGAGAGTGACATCGCTGTGACGCCTGCAGTGGCACTGTGCAGCAGTCGACCGCAGAGGGTTCTCAAAAGCTCGTTGCAGGGCGGCGGCATCAACCTTGCAGAGTTCATCGAGATGGGCTTGCTGCCGCTGAACTTTGATAGTGATGTGGGCATTTGATGAGAAGGTGAGAGGTGGCAGGCAGGATTCCTATGCCCTACATAGAGAGAGAAAGAGCACACTCGCCCGGGCCCGTTGCACCTTTGATTGCGCAGCCAATTTTCTAATCCCATATTATGCTGAAGCATGAGGCTGTAAGGCAGGGAAGCAAGAAGCGAGCCGCAGCCAAAGCCCTGAGGCTTCGCATCGGAACCTCGAACTCTGAGGCTCTCTTCGGATTGTTGCATCCTGGACGCACAGCGATCGTTCCGGGGGGGCACAGACCAGCCTCGGAACTTCAGGGAGCTGGAGGTCTGCTTGAAGTTGGGAAATAGAAGTATTTTGCGGTATGTTTGTTCCGGTGCAGTCCTTTGCATTTTGGCATCTGTGGAGTACCTCAGAGACAGGAACTACTCCAGTGGCACAGAGCTTGGACCTGGGCAGCTCCGGCCCGTTTCGCAAACTGCCACTGGGCCGCAAATTATGGTGCGTTGCAAGGCTAGGCTAGGCTGTACTCGGCGGGGTGTCCTGTCATAACGTTCAGATGAGCGAGAGGTGGCAACCACCCAGCCCAAGCAAACCACTCTATCCAACGGCTCAACCTGTAGGCAGGTCAGCAGTGTTAGATTTGGTTGCTTAGCCTGAACATCTGCATACCGGTGCAAAAGTTGCCATCTGTTGTCTCAAACCCTGAGCTGGAAGGCCGTGACTTTGGTGGACCTGCGGCTGCTGGCCCTTGGCGAATTCCCAGGTGCAGATGGTCAGGAAGAGGCCTTGGCAGCTGCGGACCAGGACAGACATTCCCTACAGCAAAAGTACGAAGAAAACATTGCTATGGGGGTAGGAACTGATAATTATCGTCCGTCCAACAGTCCCTGTATAGTTGCACTTCTTTCGGCTACCGCAAGAGCCGCTCCGAATAGTTCAGCCCCCGAAATTAGGCGATCGGCCAAAGCAGCAGGCGCTTGGAGGGACTTGAGAGTTTTGCCGACGCCAGGACCGATCGCAGAACGTCGAGCTCGCGGAATTCCTGACGTTTGCAGGTTGGGAGGGGGCAGTCCTATTCCTAATGCTCGAGGATCCAGGCTTTCTGAAAGGCCCCCGTAAGGCTTGGATATGGGGCCGGGGTCCATGGCTGCGCAAGGAGGGGTAGCTGCAGTTTCGTTAAGCTGGGTCGCGGCTTGTCACATGAACTCGTTGGCACACCCTAGCAGCAGCGAGCACTGATCGAGCACAGCTAAAACGGGGTCAAGCATACACTTGGGAGAAGAACTCGGCTGCAACATGATAGGGGTAGAACACGGCTGCAGCCCGAATACCGAGTGAGCTTACGCTGCAGAAGAACAAGGTGCAACACCAAACTGGTGAATCTTTCATCCCGCACAGGAAGCATTGCAGAAGAACACGGCCGCAACAAGGAAGGGGTCAGCACGAAGGGTTCAATTTCTCATCCAGCAAAGGGCTGCAACACGAAAGGGGTCATACTCTCACCGAGCAGGCATACTTCGGAGAAGAACGCGGACACGAAAGGAGGGGCCGCAACGCGAAAGGGGTCAATCTTGCACCGAGCATCACCCAGCGAGCATACTTTGAATGCGACTGCAACCGTCACCGCCCAGCACGGCCTTTGGAAAAAGGAACTGGCTTATGCTGGCTGCTTTGGGCACCAACTTCGCGCATGCTCCTGAAGCCCCTTTGAGTGCAAGCCACAAGCTCTAGACCCCTTGTGTAGCTAGTCCTGCAGCAGCACACAAAGTGTATCCGCTTTGGCAGGTACTGTGCTTGCAGTGAGCAACGCCACAAACGCCCGGGAAATCTTTGACTCCTTGGATGTTTCGACCACGATGCGGCTGCGACCGATGCAGCTGCCTCTTGCCCGAGCAAGCGTTCCCGGGGCTCGGTGCTGCTACAGACTCCTCGTAGACACGTGGTGCTTCGCGAGTCTTACCATTGTAAGTTGGTACGACGCGTTGAGGTGGGCCGTCACAGCCCAAGTTGTGGATTTGCCATTGCTGCGACACCTGGTCACTGTGGAGTTCCCCGGAAGGACGCCTGACAGAGCATCGATACAGAAGCGTCCAGACACGCTCGCATGCTCGTGACAGTATTTTGTTCCTGTTGATTTGAGCCTTTCATGATGTGCAGTTTCGTATGTGCATGACAGATAGGATCTACAATCCTCTAACTATTGCAGTTTTGGTGGTGTGCACCCGGAAACTCAAACGTTGCGAGACACTGTATGCGATTCGGCCATATCATATCTGCTCTAGCTCTGCAAGCAGTGCCTGTCCAAGCACGCCTAATTAGGAATAAGTTGGCCAGCATTTCCGCATTCTATGGCATGGGTATGGTGAGGCATTCTGTGAAGTGTGCCCTCCTTGCGCGTCCGTGAATGCCCACTACCTGCCATGGTAACAGCGCCTCCTCTGACTGCCAAGGACCTCGATTTTTGGTATGGTGGACACGTCCGCGATGCTTGGCAAAAATGAATGTCCCGGCAGGCCACCCCACACCACAACATTACGAGACTCCTCAGATATCGCCCATTCTAGCGGGAGTAGTGGTAGTCGCAGAGACAGTGGTAATGCAGCGGTGTCGAGAAGAGTAACCATGGTAAAAGTACGAGAGATGGTACCATGGGAGTGGCGAGAAGCAAGAAGTGCAAACCAGCGCAAAGACTGACAGCGGAAAAGGAAGAGAGCGATGGCCCTTACGGTGCTTGGAGCAGGTAGGAGGAAAGAGCACTTAGTCAGCTCAAGCTGGCCTGTAAGTTGCATGGACAAGAAAAGGAGCACAGTGAGACTTGAGACCTGGCGAGTCCAGGGATGGTGGTGTCGACCAAGCAGAGATGGAGCAGTTCGCCTGGAGGCAGCCCGGGTTTCGCGGAGTGTGGTCATTGACGGAGAACTTGGAACTCTGCAACACCACCCCCTGAAGATACTTGGCACTTGGGCCGGCAAGCGTGCCGCACGCAGCTAGGCCGCCTGAAGGCTGTGAAGAGGTTCCAAGAAGTTCTTCAAAGACTGGAGGCCGGAACGACACCTCTTCTCTAAGGTCTTCTCGGACCTGGACATGTGCCAGTTTGGCGTCGTGGTGTCCAGTCAGCTGGCAGTGCTGACACAGCTGCTCGCCAGTAGTCGGTGTCGGACGAGGTGTTACCAGCGCAGTAAGTAGTACGAGCGTTGCTTGCACCTCTCGCTGCAACAGATGATGGAACACATGTGCCGTAGTTGAGAGTGTGACCGAGGGTCAGGCAAGGACAAAGTTAAATGCCAGTGAGCTGCGACAGCAAGTGAGGAATGCAAGCGTGGTGGTGCTTCGAGCGCTTTTGGCCTCCCGGTTCCGTCAGCAAGAACACGCGATCTTTGCCTCAGCTGACCTGAACAACAATGACTTCATTTCGGCGCAGGCACTCGGCAGCACGAGAATGTCGCTGAGAGATGGGATATAGCGAGGGCAGTTTCAGCGGGATGCGAGGCGTACACTGGCGTACACTGCCGGAGTGAGCGGGGTTGTGCTTCCTTGGCGGTAGTCGAAAGCCTGTGAGAAAGCCACAAAAAAAACTAAGGCAACTAAGGCATAGAGCCCTCCGTGTATGCATAGGGCAGCTAGAGAGTCCCTAGACTCAGCATGTCCGGCACGCCACATACACAACTGCGTGCATTGATACGTACATCTCGCATATACATGTGTACATACACGTATAGACTTACAATTTTCATGTGTATGCAACTACTACTGGAAGGAATTTCAGGGAATGACGTGCACTCTTACAACGTTTTTACGAGTGCTGTATTGTCCATCCATGTGGCGTGTTGTTTGCTATCCTCCATGCTGCCTTTGTCTTTCTTCTTCATTGCTGTGCTTGGTGATGCAGTACTTACTTCCTTTATGCACACCACACTGTGTGGCCACAGATGTGCAAGTGTCACATGTCCGAGGAGTTTGCGACCTTCTCGCTAGACTTGTTCATCGGAGCGACCGAGGCATCGATCCTGCCCATGGCTTAAGATCAATGACTGTGGCTGAGAAGACAGCCGAAAGAATCCGCACATAATTTATAGCCTTTAGCCAACGGCTTGTCAAGGTTCGAGACCCTGGACACGGATTCCTCGGGGGCGTTGTCGCGTGCGGAGATGCATGTGGTGTCGGGCAACGACTTGAAGCTCTTCGATTTCCGCAGGCAGAAACCTTGGCGGCTGAGCGGTCGCCTTTGCATCGGGGTGCGTAGTTGCGAGGGCCGGAAAGGCGCGGGGTGCTAGCAGAATCAGGAAGAACTGCGAATCCTCTGCAAGGCTCATCTCCTGGACCTTCGACAATCCAGATGCTGAGACGGATTCAGTGATGGGAATGTGCGGATGGTGATTTGCAGGTGTTGCAGGTGATGCCGGGATACGTAGCTTGGCTCACGCGGCGTTTTCCTTCTTGCGACTGATGATCTGATGTCCGAGGAGAACACCTTTCAAGTCGCTGACTTCGATGGTAACGGCCTCGTCTCTGAGCTGGCGCGCTCCCCGAGTTTTCTGCGACAGTCCCACACTGAGACCATGCCCTGTGCCACTTTCTTGTCTGCCCTGAGAGGAGCTCCAACGCCTTGGCTGCCGCAGCCTGGCCCTGCGCGGCAACGTCACGGCAGCGACGGTGGCTCGGGCAGAGATCGAGCCGGTTCTTGGGGTTCAGCTCCTTGATTTTTTGTGCAGTGCCTGGCCTCATGCACTTGCCTAAGGTCTTCCGGGCAGTGGATGAAGCGCTGGTTGGTGAGGCGTGATCCTCATCATCGGTGTAATCCGAATTCTGACGCGTGCTGCAAGGTGTCGGTTGAAGATTTTGGCTTGGCGGTTGGCTCCGTGGAGGCCAGCCCGGCCTAGCAGAAAACGCGTCCTGACTCGCGGCGAAAACGGATATCGACGCACAACTTCGAAAGGTGGAGCTTTCCTGACGTAGACTTGAGTTGTTTCGACTCGCTCTGAGCTGTTGAAGTCTCTGGAGGTCATGGGGCTTCGGACCCTTGTTCAATCCGTCTTCAGTGCCGGCGTGGAGGTGCCATTGCGGTGGCTTGACTTGGGGTGCGTAGGAAGCACTTGGTGGCGCTTCGGGGCGATGCGCTTCATAACCCGATAGGCTTTTCCGCCCGAGACTGCGCGTAGCGAACGTGGAAGGCCTTCCTGTCCTTCGATGCCAATGGCGACCGTTTGCTACAACGCTCGGAATTCGAGGTCTTGTCGGAAGTAGTTGGGAAGTTGAGGGCGGAAGTATTTCGTGGTTGCTATTTGCTCGCACAAAGAGCTCGAGGGCAGAGGCAGAGCTGGGATCTGTCCTGGTCGGAGTGGGCTGAGCCTATCACATGCCAGTCCTGTGCGGGCTGTCTTTGTGAGAGGTCATGGCCACAGCATTGGCCATCAGTGGCGAAAATGTAGAGTCTTGGCACGTTCAGTCAGAAGCTTGTAAGAAGAATGTGCGGGAATTGTGTGGGAATCCTCTTTGATGTGAGGATGGCTTGTTCGATTCCTTGGCCAGCCGCCGCTTGTTTGCATCGTGCGAAAAGGATGCTTGAAACCTTGAGTGACTGGTTACAGGTACTGTAACTGAGGCCCAGCAAATGCGCAGAGAGCAAGAGAGGGAGACTATCTACACTACACCATGCTTCTTCCCATTTCTGTAGAACCAGTAGAAATCTCTAAAACCCCGAACAAATCCCTAACATGGTGAGAGGTGGGGCTCTGTGACAGCACCCTGAGGTTTTACAGTCCTAGAGACATACACGGGGGCAGAGAGAGAGAGAGAGAGAGAGAGACTCCCCACCCCAGCCCTGGCAAAAGAGAGAAGAGAGAGAGACATAGCCCTGGCGAAAGAAAGAAAAGAGAGAGAAGCGAAAGGGCAACCCCTACACCATAGCCCTGGCGAAAGAAAAAAGAGAAGCGAAAGGCAATGCAGATGTGGTTCATTTGGACATCTTCCTCTTGGCAGCCAACGGCCTCGCTGAGTTCCGCAGCCTTTTGAGGGACAGCTGCCTGGCTTTCGGATTTCCTAGCTGCAGGCAGCGAGCACTACAAGAATATTACACGAACTGCTGCAAAGGATGTTGGCAGCTTCCGGTTCGGGGTCCATGAACCACCCTCCCCTTCCAAACGTTTCCCTGGCGAGTACGCAGACAATGCGCACCCGCAAAACTGATCTGATGAGCCGTCCGATTATGGTTGGTGCGGGGCAACATGAAGATGGCTTTTCTTTGGTTTGGGCTTTAAGATCTGGAGGTTTCAGAGATGTTCGGGAAGCACTGCTGGACTTTGACACCTCGCCGCCCTGGAACGAAGTGTCCTATGAGGAGCCACCGCAAAGCAAATAGACTGTGTAGCGGAGACAGGTGTTTTCGGCAATTGACTTCTACGCCTTTGGGCACAGTCCCTAAATCACAAGCTTTGTGTTTGTGCTTGAGACTTCTGGCAGGAGTTCTACGTGTGGTGCGAAGCCCGCCTCCAACTGCCCACCTCCCTCATCCCCGAGATCTTCACAGACCTGGACTGGCTGTGACTGTGCGCGCTGGTCGTAGGTAACATCGCAGTGTTGGGGCTCCCTAAAAGCCAGAGGAGCCAGACATCCTTCGCTTGGTTTCTTGCCTCGGGCTGTTCCGGCTTGTCAGGACACCAGGAAAGAAGGTTTCCTTCGGCCCTCTCACTTTGAGATGCCGCTTGGAGCCAGATATGGGAGGCCCTTCGCTCAGCTCGGCCCCCTGTGCTCTGAGGCTGCTCGCGGCCGAGATCGGTGCTCGAAGCTTTGGCGCCTCTCTTGCACAGATTACTATATCTGAAGGCCACGGATAGAGAGTTTCGAAGGCGCTTGAGCATTCTCGAAGCTTTTTCCTGGAGATGCGGCGTGGTATCTCAGGCAAGCTCACTGCTTTGTTTGGAACCCGCACGTTAGCCCTGTTGCCCATCTAAACCCTTGGGCAAGCCACAATCGTAACGACGCTAGAGAGCGGTTCCAGCAGTTCCAAACAACTTTGCTGCATCATGGGGGTTGCTCGAGATGATTCGAACAGACTCAAGGACGAAGCTCACAGCCCGGGTCATGCAACGCACTCGACCGAGGTCAACTCTTGGGCTCCGCATTGGGCGACCTAGCAGCCGCATTTGACGAAGCTGATGGCGAGGGTGACGGCCCTTCGGCAGCCCTTCTAAGTCCTATAGGGCGAGAAGCTACAGGGGATAGGATCGATGATCACTGGAGGCGAGTGGGGACTACATCCAGAGATAGTGAGAATAGGTTTCCTGACAAGATCGCCCTTAGACCGACGCGTCATTTCCCTGGCTGAGACTTTGAGACAGCTTTCGAGTTTGCAAGGAAACGGCCTGGTGACGCTAGAGGAGTTGACCCGCCTGGCATCACCTCTGGGAGTGAGATCTGCAAATGTGGCGAAGCTCTTTACGGCTCCTCAGCTGGTGCCTTGTGGTTCCGGACGATCGCCGTCACGCAAGCCGCAAGCGGCCGCACTCAGCCGAGGAATTGGACGTTGATCGCGTCGGGTCCCTGACGACCCTTGGTTCTCCTGTGGGGCGTTTGCCTTCCTCGGAGTTCAGCGATCGCGTTGCGAGACGGAGAGCCCTGTTGCCTAGGAAGGCGCAGTTCGAGGTGATGTCCCTGCCCAACCGTATCTTCCGCCTCAGCAACGGCGAGTCTGAGCCGGACGGGATCCAACAGATCATGCGCGAGTGTTTGCTTCTACTCCGTGAGCCAAGCTCATGTCTTGCAGCGCTCGTTTGCTGTCTGGCGTGGCGTCTCTTCACCGTCGTGTTCCGGCGCGGCCTGCCACTTGACCTTGCCCCGGAGGACCGCATCCACGTCTACGAGATGCGGCTTTTCCGCGACGACGACTGCCTGTCGGAGCTGCCCTGCGACCTGCCGGTCGCCAGTTACCCGGCTAGAAGTCGACGCACCCGGGTTACTGGAGGAGCAACGTTTCCAAACTTTCGAGTCTCCGGAAGTAGTCCACGGAATGTCGCAACTCAGGCGGCCACTTCCTCCTCCTCCAGGAGGGTGCTGTGGTGAACCCCAACGAGACTGCCATGGTGCGGGTCTTTGCTTCCATGTCTGCAGTCTGGCCTGGGCCGAGCACCGAGGTCTACAACGATGTCAGCGCAGGCCGCGCCTTCGACAGGAACTTCTCTTCCAGGTGGATCTCGCAATGTGGCCCCTGCAGGCCTATTGCTGAGACTCTGTTTCGAGTCAACTCGCCCTGGCCATTTTATGAAATTACCTGCAACCTCCATGTCCACCTTGCTGCTGCATCGCCTCTTTTCGACATCTCTTAGCACACGATGTCTAACGACTCAACGGGCACACTCACCTCTCCACTAGTGCGTGTTGTTGCCCCTCCCCCAACCCGCGATCTTCCATCGCCACAGGGCCGAGGAAGCTTGGATCGGTTGCAAGTTCGACCTCCAGATTGAGGCCTTCCAAGCCTTCACTGCCACTGAATCTCCTGCATTGAGCGGATGAGAGACAAGTCGGTGGTGTTCTAACGGGAAGTCTGCTTGATTGAAGCGAAGTCCATGCCGCGATTTACGATCTCCTTCATACAGCAGCAGGTAGCAACGTGCTAGGTTCATGGATTGAATCCGGTCATTGCAATAAGGGCATACTGAGGCTGTTTCAGCGCCACACTCGTAAGTGCACTGCTTGTGTTCGTGACCGATCCTTGACGGACAACCGCTCGCGCCGGTTGAATTCGCATTTTGGGATGGCCGAGTCTGGAGATGCTACTCGGCTGAGCCGTAACTGGGGACTAGTCCGGACTGCATGCCGTTCGGATCCGCGCGGTGTGCGCGGACCCAGCCCAAGGTGCCCATGACGGACGCCACGCCGGCCCCAGCCCCGGCTGCACCGGCGACAGGTGGCGGCCTGGAAAGCGCAGACATTTGGGGTGAGGAGCGCCACGGGGGGCTACAGATTCGTTGTGGTCTCGGCCACTAAATCAATAAGGGAGGGCTTCACTGAACTCTCTGAACGGGGGCCGTATGCCCAGTTTTGGAAGAGACCTCAGGACGACATCGTTACCGCTGACCTGAAAAGGTCCAGTGTTGATGAGCCTAGCCGCACATAGCAGGCAGCGCGTTCAGCTTCGTCAGTATCGGTGCGCATGCTTCATGTGTATCAGTCCGGCTCTCGTATGAGCTGTCTTGCCAAAGTATCTTCACTTCGTACCCGTCCCGCCCAGGAAATCAATCAGCGGATTCGACTCCTGGACAATGATATCCGTGTCATGAAGAGTGCCTCGGTCTCTGAGAAAGTCAAGGAGGGGGAGGGGGTTGAAGGTGCTTGAACTTCAGGGTCCCACGTCGGATTATGGCTCTTGGCGTCTATGTGCCGAGCGCGCTTAGAACAACTTGAGAATCCCAGGTGAGCAGCAGCGTCTCACGCACGAAATCAAGACCATCGAAGAGAAGACGAAGGACAACAAGGACTCCTGATCAGATTGAACCGGAAAGATTGCAACTCTCCTGCTAGCTCTTCTGCCAGAGGCTCCTTCTGCGATGGCGACATGTGAGTATTCAGCACTGTAACTGCAACCTGAAGGAGAAGATCAAGCTGAACCGCCAGTTGCCTCATCTCGTTGCAAACGTGGCCGAGATCCTGGAGTTGGAGAAAGAAGAAGACGACGAGGCGCCTCAAGGTTTGGTGGGGTCTGCAATCTGGGCAGTTCCAAGATGCAGGATGGTGCCATGCAAGACATCGACACCCAGCGGGACGGCAAAAGCATGGTTATCAAAACGACCACCAGGCTTGAGGGAGAGCTTCTTGCCGTTTCGCTCTGTTTGCTGGAGGTGCAGTCTTCAGAAAGCCCACTAGACCACGCGTACATCGCAAGGCAGACGATCTTCCTGCCAGTGATCGGTTTGGTGGAGGCGTCAGAACTGAAACCGACGCTGGGATCCACTTTTCTTCTTCTTTCTTTGGTTGTGTTCGCACATCCTTGGCACGTGATACGATCTTCGCACGCCAGGAATGACTTGGTGGGTGTGAACAAGGACTCCTACCTGGTCTTGGACAAGCTGCCGCCAGAGTACGACTCCCGCGTGAAAGCGATGGAGGCCCAGGGGAACAGCGCAACCAGAGCTTTCAAATGCTGGTTGCAGTGGGGCGCAGCAGTGAGGGCTTTTATGGTCGCTTCGTAGATTGCTATGGGAGGTTGATGAGCGCCCCACAGACCAGTACAGCGACATTGGTGGTCTGGAGAAGCAGATTCAAGAGTTGCTTGGCTTGAGTTCATCTGCCAGGCCCGGAAGCAGATCCAATCATGCCTTTGAGTCGCATGCACTTGGCCTTGAAGCCTCTACGGCCTTGATGACGCTGAGGTTGCAGGAGGCAATCGTCTTGCCCATGACGCACAAGGACCCTTTGTACCCAGTCTTCAGCTAGCTTCCCACATGTTTGAGCCCAAGCAAACTTGGCTGCAAGGCCGTGTGCCATGGCTTCACGTGTCTGTGCTCGTCATACTCGTCACTGTGCCAGGAGCGCTTCGAAAACATCGGCATCCAGCCCCCGAAGGGAGTGTTGATGCATGGGCCGCCGGGTACTGGCAAGACCATGATGGCCCGAGCCTGCGCGGCTGCCACGAATGCTACTTTCCTCAAGCTGGCAGGCGTCCTTGCTGTCTATGCTGCTTGCGTGTGTGCATGTGTGTGTGTGTGATCTCTGAGACGGGCAGGACCCCAGCTGGTGCAAATGTTCATCGGCGATGGTGCGAAGATCGTCCGTGATGCCTTCGTCCTTGCGAAAGAGATGCTCGAACTGTCGCTAGCGTCCTTTCGTGCCGAGGTGAGGTCAGGTGCTACAAGTAGCTTCTCCGGAAGACGTCTCTGAGAGACTGTCTTGGCCTCTGAGGAAAGCGCCCGCTATCATCTTCATCGACGAGTTGGACGCCATCGGCCAAAAGCGCTCCGGCGGAGGGGAGCTCTCTGGGGTACGCGAGGTACAGCGAACGATGCTCGAGCTGCTGAACCAGCTGGCTACTTGGGCACAACTTAAGCAGCACCAAGAGCTGACGAATGCTAAGCAGCATGAAAAACTCTGACTCGTGATGGATCATCCAGGACGGCTTCACCAACCAGACCACCGTGAAGATCATCGCAGCCACGAACCGCCCAGATACGCTGGACCGGGCATGCTGCAGCCGCACCTTCCTCGTCGCAAGAAAGCAGCACACAAGACACCACAACATGCAATGCGCTGGGTATGCGCGTTCTGCGCGTCGTTCGAAGCCTCGCTCTCTTCCGTGCGGAGGATCCCGCGCTGCTCCGCTCTGGACGCCTGGACCGAAAGATCGAGCTCCCGCACCCCAACGAGGACGCCGCCGGCACCATGTGTAACTCCGTGTGTAACGGGTGCGGACATGCTGCTGCTGCCGTGTGGTGTCAACACTGGAGGGAGGGAGGCCAGCCTCACACGGTATGTCGTTTCCTTCTTTATCTTGTTTGCACTCACTTTGACCTTGCCGATCGTGCGGTGGAAGGACTCCCGCGCGCGCATCATGCAGATCCATTCCCGAAAGATGAACTACAAGCCACTTGTGCTGCACCTACCGCTGTAGTATAGGGTGCTGCCATTGAGCAGGCCCACTCTTTGGCCAATCCGCATGCTCCGGCCAAGCACAGCGATTGTGATGTTATCTCAGGAAAGACGATGTGAACTTCGTGGAGCTTGCCCGCTCCACCGACGACTTCAACGGAGCCCAGCTCAAGGTGTGGATGGAACTTTGGACTGGCACGTGTGTTTGCGCAGCTTCTTTCTGGCAATCAAGACCCGGCAGGCAGTGTGCGTCGAGGCAGGCATGGAGGCCTGCACCGTCGGATCTTGCGACAGATGATGTGTGCACATTTGTTTTTGGCATAGCATCGCAATACCGCAAGACCATGGTGCACACGTTTTTGGAATACTAGAGGTACTTGAGAGTATTGGTCTAGGGCGGCCTGCACTTGGTGCGAATTTTTGGTGTCCTTTTTTTTGAGGGGGGAGGGGGCCCTCCCAGCCAGTGCTCCTTCAGAAACGTAACGCACCATGTCCTCAACCAGCTGCGATTAGGAGAGAGTTTGAGAGTTGTTGTTCTGTGCATGGAGAGGTTTAGAGAAACTTGCATGCAAGCCTGCAGCAAAGAGGGGAGACAACGTGGTACAGGAGGAGCACAAAGCAGGCAGTCAGAGCAGATTGAGATTGTCGGTCGTTCGCCCTGCTCAGCGGAGTTGAAACGATCCTCCTGTAGGCGCTACGCCGCGGCGCCACGGAGCTGTGTCACGAGGAGACAGCTGCTGCGAGGTCAAGAGCCGAGCCTAAGCTGTGCGGCCGTGGCCCTGGCAACCGCCAACTGGCCAGGACTACGTGGCCGGGATCGGTGCTGTCCAAGCGAAGAAGAAGAGCAACTTCAACTACTATGCCTGAGCTGATTGCAGCCTTTGCATGAGACGACTTAGCTCCAGGAAGGGCAGGCTGTGGAAGGCATTTTGCTAAACGGTTTCTGGATGACGCCGTGAAGATAGTTTGGCTTGTTTCTCACGTGGGTGAACCATTCTTGTTCTGATTTAGCCTGCTGCGCGCGATGTGTGGAAATTCGAGTAGAGGCTCTTGCGGTGGCAACCTTCTAGGAAAGCTGGTGAGACTGGGTGTCGCCGAGTTCTGCCAGCGGCATCTTCTGTATTGACACAGATGCCTTCTCATACTGGAATGGCGAAGGCAGAGAAAACTTTGCGCTTGCAGCTGCAGGGGCCAAGTCCGCGCAGACACCGGGGTGGAAGATTTCAGCCAGGCATCGGGAGCTTACTGTCTCAGAGACGTGCAGGTGCGCTGCATGCAGCTCTACCAGACACCACCAGCAACAGTTTCGCGGCGACTGCAGGCGAAGGCAGGGGAACGATGCTGTGTTTCAGGAAGGTCCAGACTCTCGAGCTTGGTCCGGGCGAGCAAATCTTTGTCTGGCATTTCCAAGATCTTTCAAAGGCCTCTTCCACCTGTCACAGCCATGAGCAGGTGGCATCGACACTGCGCATGCAGCGGCTTGGAGCGAGAGCCGTCATGCGTGCGGTGGCATCTAGCGAAAGGTTTCGGTGCTTCACAGCGGTATCATAGAACCAAAGGCTGAGACAGCAGGCAGACGGCGAGTATGCACAACCAGCACACTCCGTAGCATTTGCAGCCGGGTGATCAGTAGCGAGAGTTGCGCACTGCAGAGCATCTCGTGGTTCACAAGTGCTCCCCAGGATATGGGATGGCAAGACATGGCAGAAGCTTGCAGACATCCCCAAGCCGCCTCTGCCCCTCGATGCAAGATGAAGGGTCGTGCCTGCATCCTCTGCTTTTGCACCGCGAGCCTCGTTCATATCCGCATGGTCCCTGTGACCCTGGGTTTGCAGGTGGGAGATTGACAACTTCGGCCGGCCGTTTGTCTTCAAGCCTCCTCTGGAAGAGATGGGCCTCGTGACCACCACCAGGCCAGGCCAGCCTCATCAGCGTCATCAGGAAACAAGGGGCCAGGAGACGTCTCTGACTTCTGCTCTCTTGCATCCCATTCGGGAGCCAGTGCGCCGAAATCGTTTCCAGAGCTCCTTTCAGGCCTCCAGAGCAGCAGCAGGAGGCAGAGGAGGCCTTTGGGGCGGGGCCATGCGCTGCGGTTTCTTCCTGGTCTTTGGAAAGACTTGTCGGGTTTGGTGTGCGCAAGTTGAACCTGTACCGCCTGTTCCAGACCGATACTCCGAGTTGGGTCTTGCGCGATCAAGCGCAGACTGTTTGGATGGCCGGGCGTGGATGACTTGGGTCCAAAAATGCAGAAAGCTCCATGACAAGCCTTCGAGCCTTAAGGCCTGAGTCAACAGACTAGTCCGGTCCTGCGTGTTACTATTGAGCCCGAGCTGCACTTACTTGACTGCGACGGTTGGTGTGATGATGTACCATGGAGAGACCTTATCGTTTAGCATTCAATGGGGTTTTGTGAGTTTTGTGGCTCTGTGCTTGAAGTATGGGGATGCTCCTGTGAGGGTTCGGTGTTTGGAGTCTGACGTTTCAGTGAGAGCTCAGTGGCGTCACCCTTCCGAAAGCATCTGATCGAAGATGCCGCAAGCCTCGCCTGGAGAGTGTGAGTGTGATCGCCGGAGCTTCGTTTGGGTGCGGTCCGAGTTGAGAGAGCGTCAACCCGGGAGCAACTTTCCTCATCGACCTGCCCTGTGACAGGACTTTGTGAACCGGTTCGGGATCAGCCTTCCGGCCCTGGTCTCCATCTGTCTGGGTGTTGGCATCTGTGGCTTGCTTTGCCTCTGCGTGCTCTGTGCCTTGGCTGCGGCAGTAGCTACAAGGCTTCGGCCTTGGTTTCTTGCAACTTGTAATAACTTGCAACTACTTCCTGGATCTTGCAAGGCTGTGCTCCGCAATGCTTGTCCCAGCATCAGCCAGACGCCCGGGGTGACTCCGAGGTCCGATCCTTGCCAGTCCTCGGACGCTGAATATCTTCCGCATGAATGCGCCCGAGCGCAGCGTGACGGCAGTGTTGCACATCGCCTTGTGCTTTTGCAGCCCTCTCAAGTCTCTGCTTGCTTGGGCTGGCATGTTTCCGGTTCGAGGCATGGATGCGAAGAAGATGAAGCAGTTGGACAGCATCTTGAAGATGAAGCGGGAGGTGGGCTATCCTTGCACCAAGGAGTGTGTGTGCGTGTGTGTGTGTGATCAGTTGCCATCCTAACTTGGGCGCCCCTCACCCTGCCGTTTCTGTGTCCAAAGAACCTCCCCAAGCCTCGGCGTCGGGGAGTCTTGCAAGATTGACTTGCAACTTAGGTGAAAAACTTGGAAACCCAGGTCCAGGAGAGGGCACAGAGTTGGAGTCCGAACGAGAGTTGTAGCCGGTATCCCAAGTCACGCGCTTATGGTGGGCCCTGTCTCGAGGATCACGCGACCACGACAGACGATTGGGGCATGTCGCACAAGGTGCAAAGCGAAGAGCAGAGCCCTGGCCATATGGATTTTTATCGCTCTAAAGAGAAGATGATGTCTTTCAATGGCCATGATGTTTTGTCTTTCTTTGGCAGGATCCTCCGATTTTGAAACCCTCCCCAGGTTTCGGTGTCACATGCACTCCATGAAAGGAGAATGCTCGAGCGACAGCTGGATCGCAAGAGAAAGCAGCAAGCCAAGATGGAAAGAACTGCCGAATCAGGCAGGCGACACCTTACTCTTGACATTGTGCTGTTGCAGGGTAAGTTATTCAGACGGCTATGGAATCAGGTGAGCAAAAGGAAGTCAAGAAAGAAGAGCAAGTGCAAAGGCAAGTTTCTTTGCAGTCACGTGGCCACTGCTCCACGACTGCAGGATGCAAAGAGTAGGGGACCTGCTTCATCTTGCATCAGGAAAAGAGCCGACGACGAGCGATATCGTCGCATGAAGGAGGTGCGGTTCTCGGCTCTTGATGTGAAGATCGTTATGGCTCTGCCCTGCCCTCTGTCGGGCGATTGCTGTAGGCCCCGCTTACCCATAAAGCAACTCATGGAATTCCTTGAGACTTGAGAGGCCTACCGGCCCAAGACCATCGCCGTGGATGGCGTGGCGCTGCGAGCCCCGGAGTCGGTGCCACGGCCCCCATGAAAGCCTTCAGAAAGCAGGTCTTTCAGCCTGTGGCGTCACGGCACAACTCGCTCTGCAGTTTCTTCTCCAGGTGCTCCTGGAGCTGGGTTTCGAGCCGGAAGCACTGGAGGCTTTCTCAATGCCAGGCTTTTCCAGCCGCCAGGCTAAGGCTACAGAATCCACAGCTTCGGCGCAAGCAGCTTTGGTGCAGCGGCAGCCGGGGAATTGCTTCGCAGCTTGTTGAGGCATGGACGCTGACGGAAACCTCCTGGCAGCGCCCGAGGATGAGGACGAAGAGGAGGAGGCCCAGGAAAATGAGGCTGGCAGTGAGAGAGAACATGCATGTTCTTTCGGGGAGGGGAGGGGCACCGCTTGTGCTACAATGTTGTGACGTAAGTAGAGTTTCCTACTTGAGGCGACCTGTGCCTGTGGTGAAGGGAAGCCGGCGGCGACCAAACTGCTGCATAATCTATTCCGCCAACAGGACGAGACTGGTCCTCCGCCGCCTCCGGATGATGAGGTCCGGAAGAAAGTTTCTTCTTTCTGAGAACAATCCCAGTGAGAGAATAGTGTGCTGCGCAGTGACTTGCATTCTTGCCGTGGGCAAAACGTCCCCCAGGCCCTACTTGTAGCATGGATTGCATGACCTACTTTTTGCTATCGGACCATGGGGACGATGTTTCCAACTTTTGGGCGTGCCGACGCACCTGCCGGGTTTGTATCTGCGTAGCCTGGAAACCCGATGGGAAGGCGTCAGAAGAAGCCTTTGACCTGGCTGCCCTCCAGGAGCTCCTCTTGTCGTAAGGTGCGGAGTCGACCTGCCGTCAGCCCTCCCGTTTCCCAGGAGGCGGCTCGGAACGCCAAGTTCGACGATGCGGCGCTGCGCATGCCTCCCGAGCAGACGTGGCAGCAGTGGAGAGGTCTCTGTTCGATTCAAACGCTGTCAAACGTTCACGCTCTTATTACATGCATGAAGTGCGGGCGTGTGGACATGATGCTGCTGTACACTGCAAAGCTGACAATCGATTGTGCAAACGGACTTGTGGGCCTTCTGCTTCGGGTGCAATTGGCAGCCCTCGGGTCACTACTGCAGTCTGCATTTTCGGGCTTAGGGTGAGTGTAGTTTGAGCCTTCAAGGCTTGAGTTTTTGTTTTTAGCCTTGGCCGCAGCATGTCTCATCAGTGCCCCGACCCGAAACGCCCCTCCTAGGTCGGCCCTCGTTGAGAGAGGCCTCGTCATGAAACTCGTGCGCTGCTGTGTTCGTCTCGTGCAACACCGAAACCAGGCATACTTCATGTCACTCCATGTCCTGCCAAATCCTCGAGATCGTGTGTTTTTACTTCTGCGTCTACCTTGCTTTGAGCGCAGCTGTGCCGAAGCACGCGAACTTCCCTGTTGTCCCGACAGATGCGCAAGATGTCTTGGTAGCAATTCGAGGCTGGACGAGGCTCCAAACATTGCCAGGGAGGGCGCCGGCCTCAAGCGCCGAGGGGCCATGGCAGGTCCCAAGGACGCGAAGACGCGAGCACTTTGAACTTTGCGACAGCCTTTCTCTTCGTGTCAACTCCGTAGGAGGGCCAGCCCATGGACGCAGAGCTGCTAAAGCGCGCTCAGCGGAAGGCTGCTGGCCTCAAGGCCAGCGATGCGTGGACCTGCTTGGCCTGCGTTGGGCTTCCGGGCTTCGGGCTGATCTCATCGTTCGTTTGCGGAGGTGGTGTTCCCTTGTGTGATCATCTGCTGAAAAGTGAGCATGTTCGACAGGTCGGCGCCGAAATACACGAAGAAAACGAGGCGGAATTGGCAGTGCCATCACTTGTTCAACGGCTTTTCCGGTGGGTGCAGCACCCCGGAGCCGTTGACATTCTTGGGGAGTCTGCTGTGGAAGGTGGACAAGTGGATCGGACCTGGCTCAGAGCCGAGCTCATCGAGGCCCGCCGGACCTTAGTTCGCTTCCGCTTGCCCAGCTCCAGCACTATTTTGAGCCACGCGCAGCTGACGCAGGCCGGACACTTCCCGCAGCCAAGCGAGCAACGCTCAGCTGCTGGACTGGGATGCACTGGACGTGGACAAGGAGGCGCTGAAAAAGGAGAAGCCTCCAGTCTGCAAGTTCAGCCCCGAGCGGGCGGGTTTTTGAAGTAGCCAAAGGCATGTAAAGGCAGACGGTGCGTTGGCTTCTCGGCCTCCCCCGGACGTGGGCTTTCCTTGCCCCTGCAAAGCCCAGGATAAGGGAACAGGTCAAGGCCACCTTGGCGAAGCAGCGGCTCCGAGCCATCACAGAAGGCCAGTTTTGGGCACTGCTGTGAACTCAAGTCGTGGCCAGCGCCAAACACCTCAGCCAGGTGACAAAAAGGACGCCGCAGCCGCGGCAGAGTCCGACGACTCGCAGGACGAGGCCGGCAATGGAGATGCGGGGGTGAGATAGGAAAGCTTGCTTAGCTGATCAAGTCACGTGTTGAGCGAGGGTTTCGGGCCCAGCATCCCCACTTGCGAGCTTCTTCAGAAAGGCTCCCCCAAGTCGCTTTCACGTACGGCGCCTGCGTTGAAAGGACGTCGAGGTGAAGTTGGGGCGAGCTGCTGCGCCCATGGCAGTGCCTTGGTCGGATATGAGCGCTTAGTCATTTAGTCACGGGCGAAGCGAGCGTGGCCTTCGCAATAATGTGCCTACGACGTGCAAACCTTGTCTTTGGCAGATGCCTTGGGCTCCAGTGTGCGATTAGTTCATAAGCAGAATTTGTACGACTGTTTGCCAAGGAGGGTGCCCTGATGAGCGTCTTCGTCAAGAAGGAGCCGGTCAAGGCCAGGCAGCCTCTTTCCTTTGAGATGAAATTGAAGGAACTGTCAGCTACCATGGTACATTGAACTGGTGCTCTTCGAGGTTGCCTGGCGGTAGCTAGCATCAGTTGGAAACTTGATGGCTCATCAGGCAGTCACAGAGCCGGAAGCAGAGAGGTGCACAGAGGCGGACAAGATATCATGTCGAACGTTTCTTTTGCTGGGCACCCGCCCTCCCCAAACAAGTGCTAGTTCTCTCAGACCTATACGAACACTCCGCTTTGTAGCTGGTGCCAGATAAGTGGATGCCGCACAAGGTAGAACCGCGCTTGTGCGGTCCAGACACGAGCCCCAAGCCAACCCTGGCGCAGGCCACACGTGAGGCCCGTGAGGTGCAGGAGCCCGTGGTAGAGCCCGAAGAGCTGGCGCTGCCCGTCCCCGTTCCCGAGGCCCGCGAGATGTTGCAAAATCTACCGTTCTTTCGTGAGGAGAGAATCTGTTTTGGACTTTCCTCACCTGGAAAGGTCCAGGCAGCTGGGGATGCCCACGAAGCGGCAGCTGTCATTCGGCGTGCACTCGAGAATGTTTCCGGAGGCTTGTTGAAAGATGACCGGGCAATCTATGGGGTCATCGAACCTGCATCATTTCAGACTTTCCGACTGACCTCGTCATTGCATCATGAAGTCGGTGTCAACAGCGTACTGCGTCACGTGTGCCTGTGCAGGGTGTCGGGTTTACCCACAGGTTTACCATGGCATACCATCGCGAGAATTGCAATTTTTGCCGCTTGGTGATCTCCCCGAAATCGTCACTGAGGCCAGCAGCGCCGCGGGATCGCAGCAGCCGTATCAGGGCAAGGCAGACCGAGGGACAGGGATGGTTGAAGCCTGAAGCCTCCTGTGTATTCCATAGATTTCAGGTTCTGATGTTACTGTGTGGCTTGGTAGGACTCCAGGTGCGGGGCAAGCAAGGACCGGGATGTTGACAATGCTGCGCTGTCCCCTCCTGTGCCCAGTTGTCCAGGTGCACGCTGGCATGCCAGTCCGCCCTCGCGGCCTTGGCACCCCCCGTCGAGACATGCTTGCTGGAGAGGTTTATCGGAGCTCCCTGGATGCGCCGTGCCGTGGCTTTAAACGTCGGCAGGGCTTCGGCCCTGTTGAGTAAACCGTTGTGAATCATAAGTCATATAGTTGCCAGGGCGGCTGCAGTCCTTGTACTTCTTCTCCCTGCTTGACTTCTCTCCCCGTCGCAATTTTCATAAGGATGACACTGACCAAAGACGGCTTGCCATGGGGCCGCTTCCACTCGACGAAGCCGCACTACCGGACTCCGGAGGAGACTTTCAAACTTGGCTCACAGCTGAATCAGCTACAAGAGGCCTTACAAGGTCCAACAGGTGGGTACAAGCCCTTCTTTGCACTTTGCAGGAGAAGGCAGAAGCCGTCAAATCTCAGAAGCAGAGCCCTGGATGCGAGCATTGGATAATGACTGTGCGCCTCGGTCTTCAGCACTCGACATCAGGATGGGCTTCTTCCAGCGGATGTTCGGCGGCGGTGGGGACGAAGCCGACGACCTCGAGGATGGGGTGTGAGAGTGCGGCATCAGCGGGTTTCTGTAGTCCGTCCGCCAGCGTGCTTTCCGCCTGCCCGAGGTGGTGGAAGAGCCCGGGGCCGGAGCATCAAAGCCTACGAGCCCCTGATACCGAGTGCCTCGCCTTCTCATTGTCACTGCCACAGCCCTACTTTCGCAGTCCCTCAGGCGGCGCGCGCTCGGCTCAGACAGCCGCGAAGCCGCAAAGCCGGAAGGCGGCTCACCGCGACGGCCGACGGGGCGAAACCAGTCTTGTCTTCGTGATTTCGCCCCTTCGCGCCGAGCCGTCTGCCAAGCGGGCTTCGAGGGAAAGTGCGGCAGACTTGTCCATTAGTGTAGTGATAGTAGCCTACTTTCGTCGTTCACCTTAAGTTATATGCCGATCCTTGTTGCAGTTGATGCCTTGGATGTATGTCCGACTCATCCCAGCGACAACACCGTTCACACCGTAGCGTGTTCCAATATGATGGGCATAAGGACTTCACCATTACCATTCAAGCGTATACAACCGCAGAATCCGTCGCTCCGCTTGTACATACGAACATCCGACACTGGATCCGACGGCAGAGACGGCACAGGATTAGGTTGTTTGAATGCCTGCTCGGGTTACCGATGATCCAATGCCAACATTCCAAATGTCCCCGGATCCTTTGCAGTTCGCTGGAGTGGCTACCATGGCGGTGCTGCAAAAAGGGAATCATGTCACAGCCTGCAACTGCTTGTGCGATCGAAAACTAGTCACGGAGCAGCCGAACAGCAGGAGACGTTCGGAAAACACAGCTGACACAACAGCCCTCTTCGATTGTCGGACCCGATGGTGCGGCAATGCACCATTAAGGCCCGAACTGGCCTGTGGATGCGTATCTTCCTGTAGCAGGATTGAGATACCGAAAAATCTGAAAGATTGTAGGCTTGGAGTAGGCAAGCCCGGCAGACACCTTAACAGGGCGCATTGTTGTTCAATCCTGGGCCTGTCGTGCGACTTGCTGAGCCTTTCCTCATAGTACAGACTCCGAGGCCATGCTGGCATGCCGTGCAGAACGCTGGGAACTTGGTGCCGAAGCTTACGGGTGTCGGAATGCCTGACAAAAATTATGCGACTGCACTAGATGCAGTTACAGTACAGGTGTGGCATGAAAAAGAAGACAGGGTAGGCCAGGAAATTCGAAGGCATGACTGGCAGCCATGCGGGCAGGCCCCGAAGCATTATCGCTGAGGGAGTGCGGGGCGATGGGCAGTTGTCTCAGTCAGAAGCTTTGCGATGCTTGAAAGTTGGTCTCTGGAGCTGTGACAATGCAGAGGACAGCCTAATCGAGAGGTTTTTTGCTCCCGTGCGCCGGTGCTGGCATACGCTACTTACTGCCAGCTGCGAGTAACACTTGGCTGTCTTCCTCACCACCGCGTCGGTCTGTGGGATTCGTGAGCTGCTAGCTTCCAAATGTGCTCGAATTTGGAAAGCCTCCTTGTGCCGGCCTTTCTCGGATCTTCGGTGGAGCGGCGTAGCCTGGTGGGCCGCAAGCACTGACAGGACGAGGCCTGTCCTTTGTCGCATTCTCTGCACTTTACACCGGTTTCTTCGCCGGCCCCAGAAGATTTTGGTAGCACGCCGCGTCAAAGCTGTGCTCAAGGATCTTACGCCTAGGCTGGGGCCGGGCCCTGCAGGGCCATCGGCCCAGATGTACAGCATGGATGGTCCTGGCCACGTGACTTACACGAGGGGCTGCCTGTCCCAGATGTTGCACGCGCACCTGCATGGGACTTTGGACTTAGGTGCGCTCCTGAGTGGGGCCGGGGAAGGCAAGGGAGGTTATCATCGAGTTGCGATCCCAAGCGATTCTTCCTGAGGCATAAAACCCGTGCTGATAGTCAAAGCTTCTGCGAAGGCAGGTCTGGGCCGTGGGCACTCCTTGGATGCAGACTAGAGCGACTGGAGCTTTCGGAGAGCAAGCTGAAGCTGTCATCGTTCCGGGATGTTCCGGGGCCTCATAGATGTCCATGTTTACCTGCCACCCGCAAGGGAGCGATGCTTTGGGGGTTCAGTTCGTTGTCTTTGGCAAGTTCCCCACCCAACAGGGGGTTGGGCATCAATGATATTGGCAAAGTCTGGGTGCATCTGAGTGCAACAAGTCAACAGATGCAGCCAAAGCCAGTGTGGAGGGCTTCTCAGTCGACTTCCGGTTCGCACTTGGAATCAGGCTTATTGGGTTGACAAAGGGTTGTCAGTTTGTCATGCTTACTTGGCGATTCCTGTTCGCGGTTGCCGTGCCCCCCGTTTTTACGGAGTGCGACATCCAGAGAGTCAAGTCGATCGCCTGCAGATCGGCAACGACCAGAAGCGCTGGAGTCTAACATTGTGCGATGGAGTGCATCTCGGCACTGTTTATTCAGTGGGAGCTGCGGCAAGCAAACTTGGGTTCGTGTTGGTTGCAGATCCTCATTGCAGGAACGTGGTGAAGTCTGTCGTTGTCAGCGAGATGGCGAGGAGGCTGGAGGAGGCGGCTCAGGGCAACGTCATCGGCCTTCTGCGACTTGACTTGAACTTGTACAGTCGGTCGGTCATTGGGGTCTCGCCGGGTTCTGGCTCACCGCCTCGTCTGCGCAGTGTGACGAGGCTGCGACTGGACAAGTATGGCTTCGCAACCACCGACAAAAACTCGCAGATATTGACGGTGCTGGAGGCCCGCACTTACAGCCATTCTCAGTACATGTGAGGGTTGTGTACCTTGCGGATTTTGCCACCCGCCCGAACAGTCCTTGATCTTAGCTACAGTATTTTATGATGCAGCTGCACACTCCCCTTGAGCTCAGTTCACGATGGTGGGGCGAGCAGGGCCACAGGACTACGTGGACGAACACCAGCTCACCAGACTGACCCGAGAGGACTCTGCCAAAACTCCTGAAGCCACGGGTCGGCGTTGTCAAATTCTCAAACGTCCTGTTCGAGCGGTTTGCTTCTCTTTCTCAATCGTTTTAGTTCGTTTCGTCTGGTTTCCTGCTCCACCTTCTCCTCCTCCTCCTCCTCCTCCTCCTCCTCCCCCTCAAATTTTCATCTTTGTTTGTTCAACTGTCCTGCCTTTGTCGACCGTTTTGCTCCGCTTCTCGAATCTTTCTATTGCCTTTCCGTTGGATTGCTCCTCTTTCCGAGATTGTCGTCTTTGGCAACCCCACGGGTCTTTTGCAAGAGGTTTGCTCACATTGGTGTAAAATCCCCTGTGATCTCTTCTGCCATTTTCTGGACCGTTCCGATTTCTGTAATCTTCTTGGAGCGGTTTGCACTCCACTGATGTAGAAGCGGTAGAGTCCCTGACCAATGAAGTGTCCCATGCAAAGTTGGCGAGGACGTCGCGGCCGAGAACATCCCATCAACGCAGGCCCAACACAGTGTGCCTGCGGGATCTGATGGTTTTCCGCTCGATACTCCTGCATTTTATCGATGGTTTCCGTGGCTTTAGCTTTGCAGCTTGGCGGAATTGCGATGCCGTCGCATCGGTTCGAAATCTCTTATGGTCGGCGACTAGGGCGCATGCAAAAGGCAGCAGGGAAACACAAGGTCTTGCCAGAAAAGGGGGAGGCCAACATGCATTGGAGTTCGCCTAGCATGTGCTGGCATGTTCTGATCTTTTGCGTATTGTGTCGTGGGGAAGTGATTGCGGGACTCATGCGTTGCAGGCCTTGCACGAGGAGCACTCTGCAAGATTTGCCAACGGTCAGCATCTCAGAGTGCCCAATCGCATGGCCATATCAACACTTACTGCCATTATCAATCGTAGAAGAGTTACGGCAGCGAGAATCATCACCACGGCCTCGCCAACGCATGTTCCATCGCGCCGTCCAGTGTTTGGCTGGGACGCAGTCGTCGCCTTCGCTTTCACTGGACCAGCCCCAGCTCGAGGGGCTTTGTAGGTCACAGAGAGTCATGTTCTTCGCATGTCCGGCTGGGTCCCCCAGTCATGACCAGTGAAGCAAGCCGAGGTGCCAGTTCAGGCGCTTACCTCACGCCGGAGCGCCGGATTACCCCGGTGCCAGAGACGACACCGAACCCCCCTGTGGCGCTCAGCAGAGATCCTGGCATGTTTCATCTCGGCTGCACGTCCAGAATTTCTGATATCGATCCTTGGATGTCCTGGGTAGCTTTTGTTCAGCAATGCGGCGTCATCGACGATCATCCAACACCTGACCATATAGCGTCAGCCTCACCAAGGCTTGATTTGACGTTCTCATGAAAGCCATTTCTCCAGCAGCATAGCACAGCTGAACAATCCAGCCTTACAGACCCAGCCTAAGTTGATCCCGTGGAGCCGAACCCAAGTCACCCGAAATTGGAAAGAGCTATGCCCCGCGAAACCGAGGCAGATCTACTCATGCCAAACTTAACTCGACTGAAAACGCCGTGACGAACGTTTCCGAACCCAATCCGACTATGTTATCATGCAGTCCGGGAGCGTAGATGCGAGACCTCCAAAACAAGAAGCCCGCCAGGCCGAATGGCCACTTTTGGACAGGTGGAAGGAGGCAACTGTGGCGTTGCAGACGCCCCTACGCAACCAGGCTGCCGGCTGCCGGGCTGGGGCTTAGAGACACTTCGTAGGTTTTTTCCCGCTGCTTCAGGTTACGTGGAGGCACCTGCCGGGCCACCCGCCAATCCCTATGCCATGCCGCCAGGCCAGCGGTCCAAAAGTGTCAGCAGATCCGAAAGCTTGAATCGCAGCGTCAGGTGGCCCTTATGGTGGCAGCGCCAACCCCTACGCGAATCAAAGCACTGCATCTGCGCCTCGCCCGGCCGAGACAGCGCCTCGTCGGAGAATAAAGACAGGGACCACTGATCGTGTCCGAGCTGGGAAGGCGGTCACTCACACTCAAAGCGCCCTTCCGACTGTCTGAATAGGTTGCCTTTGTTGGGCGTCATGTGTACAGGGATTTTGCGAGCGTCAACTAAAGAATTGGCGGCAGAACCCTAGATGTCATCGTGTCTTCAAGCTGACAGGGTGAACGTTCGTCCTGTGGGAAAGAAGATGAGCCAGCAAGGAAGTCAGCATCCCAAATCCTAGTTACAGGGAACTGCAGTGTACGTCGTCACGCTGCGGCTGCCTGCAGCCCTAAGCCCTGATAACCTATCCCTAATCCCTTGTCAGCAGTTCCAAGCATTCTCAACGCGAGTACGTTAAACCCTTGAGCCGTCCGATATCCCCGACAACAAACCACTCGACCTTAAAATAACTCCGAGACTTGCATGTCAGCACGATCTTCTGAAATCCAACTCTCCACCCTCATCCCGAGACGCTTGCATTCACAGAAGCCCTGGCCCAAGATCGCTTTGCTGAACATCTAATTTATTCGGGCATGCGGAAACCCGGCACAGCACCGCAGCCTTGTCTCACAATCAATCAGACCTCCAACCGGAACCGGGTCCGAGTGTGAGCGTCGAAACAGCACCACACCACCCAACCTCAACTCTACTTCTCAATACTGAGATCCTCCTTTATCTCCAGTCCTTGAAGCAGCAATCAACCCCTGGCCCCAGTTGAAACCTAGGCAGAGTCTAAAGTTCAAAGTGGTGTTTAACAGCGCTTCTGATTGATGTGGGCAGTATTCTCATCCTTATGCAATGATGCCGGGATGGCCAGAAGTACGTGCAATACGCTGCCTTTATTTATTGTACCATATGCTGCTTGAGGAGTCTGTATGAGTCTGTCCTGTCCACTGTGGAACCTACCCAGTTGCCATCGACTTGTTGGCACTCGGAGGCGCGGAACCTCAGCACTAGCCTCGCTCCGGTGTCTTCCGTGGGTGCTGTCACGCCGGTGAGTGCCGCGGCAAGCATGGAAGCACGAACAGGATGCAAGACTGGCTGATGCCCAACCGGGTTTTACCGGATCCCTTGACCTTCCTGCTTCGAAAACTTGTAGCGGTTAGATGAGGTACTGATAATTGCAAGTAGGGTGCTGTAGTGGTGCCAGCATTCATTTACTGCCGCAGCATGAGCATCCACAACAGTCAGCAAGGGTCGCCAAAACGATAATCGTGATGAGCGTAGTAAAAAAAGTAAAACATAGTATGTGTCCAGTTCGTAGTGTGTTCGTTTCTTTCTCTTACCCCTGTCTCGGGTGAAGTGCTCCATCAGCTTACGAGACATGGAGCTCAAGAACACTTGTGCTCGCAAACCAGCAAAGCTGAGCGAGAAAAGGAGTGGGAGTAAGCTGGTGGTTTTCTGTAATGGCTACGGCTCAAGATTTCGGCTCGAAGTTGGGAGACAGCTCTCACTGGGTTCCTGAGCTAGCTTGATGTCTGGTGCTCTGTCAGCCCTCTCGGCCCGTGTGGGTGGGGGTAAGGTTAGAGGGGCTCCCGCTGCACTGAACTCAGATGCTCAGGCTGCTTTAGATGCTGCTTTAGGCCGCCCGATTCCCGAAAGGTTCAAAGCCCCTGGGGTTCCTGATACTGATGACGATGATGAATCTCCTCAACCCCGGGATCCGGAAGCCGCCAAGCGCGGGGAAAGCCCCTCTAAAAAGCCGAAGAAGCACGAAAGCACAGTTGACGACGAACTTATGCAACCCAGCACTGACGCCGCTCCATGCCATGAAGCTACTTCCCACGAAAACCAAGCCAATACCCTTCCCCTGAGCCAAAGAGAGACTCAGCCGTGGATGGTTGACCCGGACGGAGTGCGCACAGAGGGCAAAGACAGGGAGTCCAACAAGATGCCGCCTGTTGGGGCCGCCGAGCTGCAAAATGGGGCTTTTGAATTCAGGAATTCAGAATTTGGTCCGCCTGACCCCTCTCGTTTGAGTTTGCCCGAAATAGGAAAACCGCCTATCAACACGGGGGAAGGGAAAGATACCTCGCCGGCCTTTGGCCGAGGGGGAGGGGCTCCCCTCCTTGCCCCCCCAGTGTTCGCAGGACAGCAGCAGGAGGCTCGCAAAGATGAGGCTCACCTAGAACCCAATAGGAAAACCACGCGACCCGAACATTACGATCTTGACGAACCTGCCTGGCTTCCCTCCCTTAAATCGAGCATACAGGAACTGAAAGACAAGCAGACCCAGATTCTGGAAGTCGCTGACAGCAATTTCAGAGAAATTGCTTCCCTGCAACACAAAGTTGCGGACGCGGTGCCCAGGATCGAGGCAGTTGAAGCCATCTCACACGATCACACAAGAGAAATTAAGGAGCTTCGTCAGGAGATTCAAGCCTTACGATCTCGGTCGGTGTCGCCGGCTCCTGCGGGCTACACTACCCCAGGTGGGGCGTCAGCTCCAGTCTCGCCTCGTCAAGACCCCAGATACGACGATCTCCAGATTGCTTGCGGGGGATGGCAAGACGCCAAGCGACACGACATTGAGAGTGAATTGAGTCAAGCTTTCGCTTCGGCGGGTGGTTCGAATTTGGTGCAAGACATCATCGTACCTTATGCACGTAGCTCTTTTGCAAGAATTGAGTTGAACTACCCCTCAGGCAGCTCGATCGGGGATAAAAGAACTATTCAAACCAAAGTCATCAATGCCCTCAAAGAACAGCTACCAGTCACCAACATTCGGGGGCAGGACGGTCGGAAGGTATGGTTTAGTCGAAACCGCAGTCCGGAAGAACGGGCTAAACTCCGAGCAATTTTGTCAACCAAAGAAGCCCTTCTCGCTTTGAGGCCACAAGCAGACATTGAGCACGATTGGCGGGGTAAGGTCTTCGCTGATGGGGTCAATGTTTTGGGGTACTCAGGTCCAGCCCCACCGGAAGGAGCCTTTCTCCACACCACGACTCGTGGTGATCATAGTGGATGGTTTGTGCACGTTGCCAAGGCAGCACAGGTTCTGGGGCTCAACGTACAACAAATTCACGATGCACTCACACGTACAGCGGGAGGACCATAGGGACTTGGCAGGGAACCCAGAACTGAAGCATCTCAGGCCTCTCGGCAGCATCGCAGGACCAAGCACCGAGCCTTCCATGATCTTTCGGTCCTGCATTGGAACCTGCATGGAAAGTCGCTCACACACATTGATAATGTTATCCGCAACAACGTGGATCCTCCTGACATTCTGTGTTTGCAGGAAGTTGGGGGCCTCAACGGAATTAAGGAAGTGCAAGCCCTGCCTTTTGCCATAGGCAAACAGTCCTACACTGCGTATTGCTTAGACACCGCTGAAAGCTGGAGAGGAGTCTGTGTTGCAGTACGACATGAACTTACAGCTTCTGTCACGGAAACTCGTCCACACCCTTTTGGAGTACTACTCAAACTGCGAATGCAGGGAGTTGATTGGTACGTAACCAGTATGCATTTTCCTCATGATAACCGCGCTGAGTGTCTTGAGACTTGGGCTTCAGGAATTCAACTGCTTGAGGAATTTGTTTTGCAAGCCCGAATTCAGGACCGCATCGTTGTTGCAGCAGACGTCAATCAGGATCTTTCTCAGGAATTCGACCACTTTGTGCAAGTTCCGAGGTTGCGAGCCTGCATGCGTCTCGCCGGCCTTGATCTGGTATGTCCAGACCGCAACACATGGCATGCTCGAGGGATTAGCACAAAGATTGATTTTACTTTTCTTCGGGTGCCCGGCATGGACTACCACTTGGAGGTGCGTGATGACTTGAGACTTGCACTTCCATCAGATCACTCCGCCCTTCTTCTCACAGTCTTTTCGAGGATTCCCTTTTATAGGAGGAGACCCTGGGTCACTCGACGGTGCGGTAAGTGGGTTGCTCCTGAGCTTGCGGTTAAGGAAGCCCTGCTTCACTGCACGAAGCCTGAATTCAGTCATGCAACCATCGAATCCATTGCCACTAAGGCCAGCTTCCGACCACCCAACTTGCGTTATCAAGATGGTCCTGAAATCCATGAATTAATACGGCAACGCAAGCTGCTAACTGGAGATGAACGAACTACCATGATGGGGAAAATCCGTGTTGCACGCGAAGCTGCCCAGGTTGCGCATAAGCAGGCTCTCTTGGATAAAGCACGTAATGGGGATAAGAATGCTATTGCTCACATGCGCCGCTCGGCCGCAGGAACCTTGTCTGACGGGAGTTACATTCAGAGAGCAGGAGGACATGAACAAGCTCTCCGGGACCTCAAACACTTTTATGCAGCAAAATTTGATTCTCGCGATCCTAATTCACTGCAACCTGTTACCGACAGCCTCCAAGCCAAACATGGAGAAGCCCCTTTTGATCCCGTCACTAAGGAAGAGCTTTTGGGACTTCTTTCTGACTGCAAAAGTGCCACGAGTACTGGGCTAGATGGCATTTCTTACGACGTCCTTACACACATCCTGCATTATGATCTGGACAACAGAATTCCCGCATGGTTTAACAAAGTCTTGGCTGGAAGCGAGGCAATCCCCAAAGAATGGAAGGAAGGGAAAATCACCTTCCTACCCAAAATTTCGAGGCCCCTCAAGCCCTCCCAACTCCCAACTTCGACCCATTTGTTTAACTAGCACTGTCTGCAAGCTCTTTGGGAAGCTCCTCAGCGTTAGGCTCCGCACCACGCTGCCCCCCATCACTACAGCGCAACTGGGGGCCAGGAAAGGCTGCCAGGTTCTCGATGGGATCACTACGGCCCAGATGATGCTGTCGTTGTCTAAAGCCAGGAAAGCCCCTCTTTTAGGGGTCAAACTGGATATTGCGGCTGCCTTTGACTCTGTTCATCATCGCAGCATTGGGCAGTTTCTTCTTGAATCCCAGCCTTCGCGGGAGGCCGTTAGACTATGGGACTTGGTTCGAGACAACACAGTCCTCCTTCAATTGAATGGAGAACATTGGTTTCAGAAGCTTCAGCAAGGGGTTATGCAAGGGACCAGCTACAGTGCGGAGTTGTTCAGCAGGCTCATGGCATGGGCACTCAGAGACCTTGACGGGCACTGGGACGGTCTTTGGGGACCCTGTGTCCGGGGAATTCACACTCCGCATATGCTCTTGTTTGCAGATGATATCATTGTTTTTGCGCGCACCACTGAAGAATTGCAGTCCAAGTTGCGTGACATTCAAGGATGCTTGGATGCACTGGGCCTCAGAGTTAATGTGGACAAGTGTGCAGCTCTTGCGAGCCCGGAGTGCCCGCAACCTGGCATTTGGGCCAGGGGGTCCTGCAAACCCCTTCAGATTTGCGAACAGTTCATCTTCTTGGGAGCCCCCCTCGGGTACTCCCTGGGGCCCCTCGATACCTTGGGCTTTTCACTTCGGAAGGCCAGCAACGCCTTTTTTGGTTTTAAGAAGATTCTCTCTTCACATGCTTGTGATTTGCATGTTAAATTCACACTGCTTGACACGTACATCACATCGCGTTGGCGCTGGCTAGCACCAGCGGCATACCCTACTCAACGTTGTTTGGAACAAATCGAGGCATCAAAAAACACCTTCTTGTTAAGCATGACCAGGATCATAGGAGACCCCTTTGAGTCTTGGGTGAGAAATACTACTGCGAGGAGACGAGCATGTCGACTTCTGTGCCAGGAATTGAATGGGCCCAACTGGGCAGGCACTTGGCTCTCCCAACTTTGGCGCTACTGGGGGCATGTCTGGCGGAACCCCTTGAACCTCCCGAACTGTCGAATTCTTCGACAGGTTGGGACAATTGCCCTGCATGCAGGTCTGATTAGACCTGGCTTGCTGGTGGATCTAATCCCTCGTAAATTACAAAAAACCTTTGTCCAGCTTCGAGGTCAGCATGATCCAGACTGTTGGGAGCTTGCCGCTGTCAACAGGGATGTTTGGAAGGAATTTGAATTCAGATGGATTCGGAAATGGATCTCGCCCATTAACACCCAATGTAATGCCACATACCTGATGCATATGCAGCTCTTAATTCTCCA